GGGGATCTTCCGCCTACCCCCCGTCTTCCAGCCTCCTGACTTGGTATTTGCTTCTTCCCACACCTCTTCACTTTTTCCCACACGCCCTGGCTCTCCCTGGCCAGCTCTATTGCTGCCGACAGTCTCAGCGGTCCTTCTTTTTAATGTCGTGATTTAACACGCTCGTCGCTCAGCGCCTCTACATACATGTCCGCCAGTTGGGCCTGCATAACCGCATTATCTCTGACCACTTCAGGGAATGCCAACGACGACAGCTTCCCTGCTCGGGCCCCCAATTCTCCCGGGGTTTCATCCCGTAGCTGTGTCAGTTTTAGGAGGGCTCTCATGGCCTCTATGGCCATGCCTTCGTCGGCGAACTCTTTAGTCAACAGTCTTTTTATCCCTTCCCAAGACAAGCGGGGTTGACTCTCCAAGAGCTCCTTCACGAATTCAGATGCTTTCCTTTTGTGGCATCGTATGCCAAATACAGGGTTTCTTGGTCTGAAAGCTTGTAGATAATTCGGCTCTTCTCAAGGATTGCCAGCCAGTTTTAAATTCTTTCCTGCTGCCGTCAAATACTGGGACCCTCGGTCCACCTAACAGCTTTCTTAAATCAACTGACAACCCCTGTCTTACTTCCTCTTCACCCCCACTGCTCTATCTGAATCATAGTCTGACATATCTACAGAGAAAGACAATCTATGCAGCAACAATCGAGGTTGGGAAATAAAATAAGGTGTCCTACCTTACAGACGATTCTGTTCTTGTTCTTTTCGGTCCCGGGTCGTTTTGAGTCCTGTTTGAATTTTCAGCAACGGCGGTCGATCGATGTGATGTGACGTGGTTGTCTCAGGGTTGAAATCCTGGTCACGGCACCATATGTGACGGCACTTGGTCCAGGGTCGAATCCTTTGGTCACGGCGCCAACGGTGACGTCGCTCCTCCGGGTCGCTCCTTGCTGCTCCAAGTGTGACGTTCCAACCCCTTGGTTAGATGATTACCAGCCTCGCCTTTCCCAACTCGCTTCCAACACCTGGTTACCAGGGTAACTGTACTGATCTCCGGTCTGCCTACCCACGTTGTGATTAGATCTTAGACAGACGGGATCAAACAGGGATTGGGGCCGTATGCAAGCTTGAGTTCGACGGGGGTGGCAAAACACAAGTAAAAAAAAAAACTCACGAGACCAAAATTACTGATAAAAAAGGGTAACAACCTTTTATATCTAATGTTCGTTACATAAAATTATTCTTACTTCCCGACCCGCTTTTGTGGACTGTGGCACCAAGCTTCTATCATCCAACTTAAAGACTTTCGAGTTGCCTACTCTCTAGAATTTTGTGTGTCGGAGTGTGGTTTAGTTTTGACACTGGGCGCTAATCTCTACCAGTCGTTCACGGCTGATTCTTCTCTTCGGCTTGAGTTGGATTTATTTCTTCACTTCGATTTGGTTTGAGACGAATTTCTGTTCTTGGGCTTGGTTTGATTTCAACATCTTCTATGCATAACTTCAAGTAACTTCTTCTTCTTCCGTCCTGCAACTCTTTCTGCCGTCTGAGGTGATCTGAGCTTTGTCGTCCCTGAGCTTCTCTGTTTGGCCAAACTGCCTGTCTGGCCTGCAACTCTTCTCTCTGCCGTCTGAGGTGGACCCTTCTCTCTGCCGTCAAAGGGAACTCAGAACTCTGTTTGGCCTGCAACTTTACTGCCTGTCTGGCCTGCAACTCTTCTCTCTGCTTCTGAGGTGGACCCTTCTTTCCGTCCGGGGCTGAACTCAGCTCTCTGTTTGGCCTGCAACTTTACTGCCTGTCTGGCCTGCAACTCTTCTCTGCGGCTTTTGAGGCAATCTTCTTCTTCTTCGACTTGGGCTGGAAGGATTTCTTGTTTTAGGATTCTCTTGCCGCAAAGGCTAATGAACTTCGTCCGATGCCCGCGTTCAACTCCCTCGCTGTCCGCGGTCCAACTGCAACTGATTTCTGTCGATTGGGGTCCTGCTTTTTATTGACGCCAAGAACAAACTGAGGTGGGTCTGTCGGCGTCAGGGTTTTCTCGATAATTCCAAAAGTCGCATTATTTCTGATTTCCCATTATCGCTCTTATTTTCACCCCTACTTCCTCACAGTGCCTCTGGTGGGGAGGCGCATACCCATCTCCCTGGTCTCTCGTATGTCAGGTGACCGTTTTTCAACCAATGGGCCTTGATCGAGCGTCCTTTCTCCTCTTTCTCGCATATCACGTGACCGCTTTCGGCCAATGAGATTCTGGTTGGGCGTCTTTCCTCCTTCCTTCGTGACGTCTCCAATCGGGCGTGGCTTATCCCGTCGTTGTCCTGGGGAAGAACACCTTGCTAAAAAAACAAAATCTAATTTGGCCTTTTTTTTTTTTCGTACGAAAAAATGACAATCTCGGCCTTTCTCACCTTCCTGGTCTCTGTCAAAACAGCCCGCCGCTAATTAGATGTGACTTCAGGAAGAATTTTTCCATCTTACTGGCGCTTTCTGTGAGCCAAGAATAATCGTTTTTCACCTCTTTGTTTTTGCTCAGACCTGATAGTCAAAAATCTTAATTATCTGAATTGAAAATGTCTTCACTTCATCATCGTGGGGGTTCAATTTTTAACAGGTCAGAATCTGTATACAATTCCAGCGGTCACCTTCTCATCCCAAAAGACACCTTTCTCCGATTAATATTTCGTTTTCCATTGTTCTAAAAATCCCATTTCTCCAAATTGATAATGAGTCTTCTACACAAAAAAGTAGGCCAGATGCTTTGACCGACATTTTTATCAATCGTACATATGTTCATACACTTTTACCAAGCCTGTTTTTTTCTTTCTTTTAATTACCTTTAATTCTATTCTCCCAAATAACAATTCCATTGTCACTTGAAATTCGATCTAAACGGCCTCTTGACACCTGTTTTCGCTAATGACCGGCCTTTTGCATTATTCATTTTCTTTTTTCTTTTTTTTTTCTTTTTTTTTCTTCCTTTAGGATCGCCTAAAGTTTTAGAATTATTCTCGAAACTCAATTATTCTTCGCCTCTAAAAACTAACAACTGGTTAATAAACCGAATAAAAAAAAATTAAATCATATTTCTATGAATATTTCTTTTCTTTAGTTTTTTTCTAATAATGCAGGGTGCCTCACTTGTTAGATTCTTTACTTTTCTAACCCAACCCTGTAGTCATATGCATTTGAGCTGGCAGAGTCATATTAATTGTGCAGAATCTATTGGTCTTGTAGAACTTAAAAGAATGTTTATTTAACCTTCAACATTATCAAAGAAATGATGTAATGTGTCACTGAAAATGCACTTCTTATATTTCCCAAATTGTTTCCAATGGATCTGGGTGTTGCAAGCAATTTGCATGATGAGAGGTTCCACCAAGAGATATATCTTTTTCCTTTTAATCATTTCACCACAAGCAAGGTCACTATGACACAATGGGTTACTGGAAGTGAAAAAAACTTTAGTAAGGAGAATGGACAATAAAAGAGTAGGATTCAGGAAGACAGAAGATGACAATGTTGCATTTAAATTTTTGAAGAATATAGGTGACAGAAAAGCAAGAAACTGGAAGATGTCCCAGAGGTGAGAAGTGCAAGAAAAGAAACTATTAGAATAGAACTTACATCTAGCTATTTCAACAGTAAAATGATGAGAACTATTTGCGAATCTAGTAGTATGCTTAAATTCATGCAGTTGAGATACCAAGGAGGAGAGCTCAATGGAACAACAGTCATAATTCTGAGATGTATGTACATTATTCGTTCTATTGTCCTAATCTTTGTCGCCATATTTATTACAACATTTCCACCATTGTACGATCTGGCCTTCTTCAGGTGGTTGGAATGTCAAACTGAACCCTTTATTTCGCTCACTGGGGTAGACTGTTTTAGTTCCACATGCCATGTTTAATGGATGTCAGTTATCAGTTATATGAAAGTTCTCCACTGCCTTAACTGGGTATTGAACTCACACCCTTAATGCCTTTATCCACTGTTCATATTGTAATTTTTTTGTTATTATCACTTTTCTCTGGCACTCCTTATTACTGGTTCCCATATTGTATTCATTTCTATGCTTGGTCGGCTCAGGAGATTTTTGTGGCCTAGCATATGTGCTGATTCCTTAAGTTTACGAATTTTCCAATGGTGTTCTTTGTCTGTGATCTCAACCTGATCCTACAGAGGGCGGTGATCTCCCTTCTCTCTCCATATGTGGTCAGCCACACCTGATTTTTCCACTTCCCCTCGTGCTACAGCTTTCTGGTATTCTTGAAGCCTTACCTTAAGGGGGCGGCCTGTCTCCCCTTTATATTTCTTTCTGCAGCTGCACGGGATAGTGTACACACAGTCTTTAGTCATGTTCTCCTCTATGGGGGGTCTTACAATATGAGCTCTGGTAAAAACATGCAATGATAACAGCAAAAATTGCAATATGAGCACTGGTAAAAAATGGTTGCTGAAGAATTAGGTTTATAATACCCAGAAATTCATACACAAGGACACATGACACAGTGTATAAAGGCATTAGTTAGTTCAATACCAGGTTAAGGCAGTGGAGAACTTTCAGAGGGAAATTAACAGGAGATAACTGATAACTGACATCCATTAAACATGGCACATGGAACTAGAACAGTCTACCCCATTGAGCAAAATAAAGGGTTCAGTTTGACATTCCAACCACCTGAAGAAGGCCGGAGTGTACAACAAAATGTTGTAATAAATATGATGAGGACAATAGTCTGAATAATGTAAATAATGTAGAACAATTCTGACTATAAATTTAGAATTTGTATGCTTGATTTGATTTAAACTATTACAGCTTCAATGGGTAGCAGAAAAAAAGTTCTTCGTTGCAATAAGTGGAATAATGAAAATGTCTTCACCTGAGTATTTCAGATGGAAATATTTGGTTTATTTGTGAAGCAAAACAAATCCAGTAACCAAATCTGACATGTTCTAGTTTTCTCATCACCACATGATATAATATGAAATTTACTTTATTGAAAATTATAGGTAGCAGAATTTCCAAGCATAATTGGCATGACAGTTGCATCCTCATTTGCAGGTGGGCCCTTTACCAGGTAAGTACAAACAGATATTCCTACAGATAGCTCATTTAACAGGTGTTGTGTTGCATGTTATTTCAGGTCTCTGGGGCTTATTGGCAATTCCTTGGTAGGGACCCCAATGCTGCATCACAAACTAAATAAATAATTTTTTTCAGGTTTTTTCTTACTCACTTTATTTCAGTTAGGATAGGTTTTTTCTTAGAGATGGCAAAAGTAGGGAGGATAGCAAGAACAGATGTCAACAGGTTGGACAGTTATCCATCAGTGTGTGTGGTGGCTTGTCTCACTCTCATGAAGCCACAGCATACAAGGAATTTGTGAGTAGAAGGTATCTTCACTCCTTTATTACTGCAACAGTATTGACTATTTTTGTGTGTTTTTTGGTTTTATATTAGAACTTAAAGATTACTGTCAGGATTTTATGCCCACAGAGATCAAAACATCCATACTCAGTTGGGGTTGTCAAAGTTCTGAATAGTATAGTAGGGTTTGCCATTTTTGGCTAACCTATGCATTCTGTAACACCGATAGGCACAAACATTCTTACAGCTAGTCAATTTACCAAGTAAGCAGCCATATTCCAGCACATGGACCATTTGCTAGATAAGCATGGACCATGCCAGAAATTAGCACTTTATTTGCAGATTTTGTGGTTATTTATATGAATGTTTGTGATATTCAGTCAAATAATGGAATCTGCCATCAGTTTGTAGGAAACAAGAAAAAGACTAATTATCAAAATTACCAATCTGACTTGTGATGATATGTAAAATGTTAACTGTTGTTAGATGACCATAATAGTTGGTTTGTTTGGTAACAGTAAATAGAACCAGGCAATTTATACCAATTCAGTAAGCTTAAAAGGAAACCACTAAAAATTGAAAATCAGAAAAAAAGATTAAAATACATGATATGAAAAGATGTTTTTTTAATCAATCACATTTGACTTGAAAAAAAAAGTTTAATTTATAAGCCTCATAAGTTTTATAAAAAAGATTTTTTAATAATCAGTCAACTTAGAAATACCAGTGTGAAACTGTACCAAGTCAGTCAACTCAACTTTGTTTATCTCCTTTGAGGCAAGCCAGTGAAGAAACATCAACATGAACATTTTTATCAATTTTTTCGACAAATTCTCCTTTCTAAAATATCTATAACTTATTTTTTATTACAGACTTTACAGCACATAATGCATTTCAAATATGAAGATTTTATTCTAAAATAAAGGTTCCTAAACAGATCAATACATACATCTTTAATGTACAAAACTCTGTCTAAAATGTTATGTATTATATCAGTTTGTTCAAAGTGTGTTTATAAAATTAAACTTTGACAAACCAACTGACCTCCTTATATTGGATATAAACTAATTTAAATATTATTACGAAAGTCACCTTTTAATCTAAAAGAAAGTAAATTATCTTAAAACATGGTAAATAGTTATGCTACTCTCTTCACATTTTTTAGCAATTTTGTATTTTTTTGTATTGTTATAACATTGTTGCTTGGCTGTGTTGGCACTTTTAGGGAAAAATAGGAAATAGTTGTTTGAATTTCTGAGATGAGGAGTTATGATTATTAACGTAAGGACTATTGTTTTCATCTTTGTTATTATCATAATGTTTTAGCCTTCATCAGGTGTTTCTACATCTGGGTAACTTTCAGAGAATTTTAAACTGAACCCTTTATTTAATTTATGGAGGTAGATTGTTCTTGTTTTGCTGTCCATGTCCAAGGGTACATCTTCTTGTTCTTATTTTAGTATTTAGTATTGCTCAGTTACTGCTCACCCTGTTTCCACTGAGTCCAAGTATATATACACTGCCTGGTGCAGGGATTGAACTCACAATTATTATGTCACCAATTTCACAAAGCAACATTTTAATCCACTAGGCTGTTGCTCTAGAAAACTGCCAGAGTTTGTCTCCCTTACAAAAAGGGCTTATCAGAAAAGATTCAAAAGATCTGTAGTCTTTGATATTGACCTAATGATGTTGTATATATCATTAGGACAATATTCTGAAGCAGCTTGAACCTATAGAGAAATCTCTGCTGAGTCAGGACTAACAAAGAAGAGAACATGACCAAGAACTGTATGTATTCCATCCTTTTCAGTTGTGGTAAAGAATACAATGTAAAATTAGCTGTCTCCTAAGAGTAAGGCTGGTGGAACATCAAAAAGGCATAAATAAATGTGAGACAAGTATTAGTTAGTTTGTAAAACAAATACTAGGGACTGACAATTCACTGTCCTGAAAATGGTTGGTTGGTTGGTTAGGTTTTATGGCACATCATCACTGAGGGTTATATAATTCCAAATCTTATTTATACGTATATATTATGTGTATGATTGGAATAAAAAATAGGTTGTATATATATATATATATAAGAATGGACTCTCCTGTTGGTTTCGACATATGAAGATCTGACAGCTTATTGATTCAGTTATGAAAGTTTGTGCGATAATCTTAAGTGGCATTTAAGACCCGCTAGTGATTTACAAAGGAGGCCACATATGGACCAAGTGCTCCAATATATATATATATATATATATATATATATATATATATATATATAGTTAATTCTAAATTCCCAGATGAATTCTGTGGACAAGACAGATTGGTATTGTTACGCCCGGGGTTTCGTTGGGACTACGATAGCCAGGACGCAACGAGAAAATAAAAAAAAAATAAGTAAGAGATCCCAAGGTTTGATATAAAAATAAAGAAAAGAATGTTGGGAGGGGAATTCTCCAATTCTGGATGTCGGTAAACACAGAGAGAAAATGAACCATACGCAGACACAGAACAACAGAAGATGACACGAGAATATATAATATGAAGATTTTATTTGTAGAATATACAAAGTGTGTAAGTAAGAAAAAGAAAACTAAATAATACAAGGGATGGGGAGATAAGTTACCAATTAAACAGATGCTAATGTGGCAAAATACATATGAATACAGAGATAGCATATTATAAGATATAGAAAAACATGCAGAAACTTACATAAGGTTGGAATCGACGTCGATTGATTATTATCAGGGTACAGTTTGATTGAAAGGATATTCATACACTTCTCTGAAAGTAAAAGATGGGATTGTCACTGTTCTAATATGAGTTTTTGATTGGCGATATCCAATCCGTGTTGATGGCGAGAACACACAGAAAAATCACGGGAGTGTAGCCGACTTGGGTTGAGGATGTTGTTCTAGATTCTCTCATCGGTCCTTTGGTTTTTGGTGGCATCTAATTCTTCTGGCATCAAACAACAAAGTCTGGTTTTGGTGACAACTGCTTCTTCTAATGGCAAACAGCTAAGACTGGTTTTGGTGACGTCTGATTCCTCCGAAAGCCAGCAGCTAAGTGAGATCGTTGTCATCTCAACATGTGCGAAACAAAACTGCTACGAGTTGAGTCATGTGTTGTCCCCCAAAAAAAGTATGTGTCATTCATGGACCCTGTTAATGTCTTTCACACTTATCTGTCAAACAGTGTTCATTTGGCCTATGACTATGGACCTTGTTAGTATCATTTGCACCTATCTGTCAAACAGCGTTTATTTGGCCTACACATCAGAGACCAGATTGGAAATGGTGGAGGAAGAGAAGGTTCTTTTCTGAGAACTGGTCCTGACTCATCTGGGCATAAAAAAAATATATCCCACAATCTGCATATTCAAGAAATAAAGAAGTTATTAAGATTTATATGTTTCGTCGCAAATACACAATGTACTGAAAATATACTTATAAAATCTGAGGTGAGGGTACAACTATTGGGCTAATGTAACAGTATAAAATGACAATTGGAAAAAAAAATCTTAGAATTGAAAAAAGTCGGAAGATTTAAACACGTTCGGCAAAATCTAAGATTTTTTTTTTAATTGTCATTTTATATATATATATATATATATATATATATATATATATATATATATATATATATATATATATATGTGTGTGTGTGTATATAAATATAAATAAATATATATATATATATATATATATATATATATATAATTATTTATATATTATGCGCGATACTTATTAGAAAGCGCTCAATATCAGAGATAGAGCTAACATATTTGGTTGGATAGATGTAAGTTTGTGACCCTGGGTTTCGCGCTTTAGCAATCGTCAGACAAACTGATTAATTTTTAAAAAATTTTGGGTTTATGTAGATTGCGTGTATTGGTGTTATTGTGGAAGTGGTGGGGGAAACGTCGTTTTGTCATCGTACTAACACAAACATCGATGTATGCAGACACATATACATATTTGGTCGTCCGTCGGGACTCATACATATATACACATATGTGGGCAGTTTCGGATATGACATAGGTATGTATACGGATGGTGTTGTGTCTATACATACGCATTTGTATGTTGAAATTCAAAGATTGGGAGTGTAGCAAAAATTTCTTGTGAATGTATACATGTCATATTTTTATTTTTCCAGTGATTAAATTTCCTCGCATGTATGTATATACGTGTGGTGGGGTTTGTGTAAAATTATGATAGGTAAAAATTATTATTATTTATATTTATTTTTAAATTTTTGAAAAAAGAAAAACAAAAAAAGGGGGGTTTATTTGTTATATTTAAAGCTGGTTATTTGATTATTTGTTTGTTTAAAAAATAGGACATGTATACATTCACGAGACATTCACGAGAAATTTTCAAAATTGGATTCCATATTGAAAAGGTAGAACCTTACATCCTGACACCATTGCGATGTTACAAATGTCAAAAATATGGACACCATAAAGAATGCTGTAGAGGATGTGAAACCTGTGGAAAGTATGGACTAAGGGACACAGATTACACAGAAGAAGAGTGTGCCAACTGCCAAGCTGGCTTTTTCAAGATTTTGTGGCATATACAAGAGAAAGAAAGAAATCCAATTTTGATTTTTTGGGGAATTACTGCTCAGTTGAATGTTAAGATATAAGTGTTAATTTTTATTTCCTCTCCATTCCTACTAATTATTATTCTTTTGTAGTTGGAGACTTCTTGTTTCCCCAACACTATTTGAATTTCTTCAGGTGTGGCCAGGCCTAATTCTCTATTTCTAATTACCCCTTTTGATATATTCAACCTTTCATACAGGTATGTTTTGCATTTAAGATTGTAGAAAGACTTCATCCTAATAAGATCTTCTGCATATTTCTTACAGTCAACTTCAATTAGTAAATTTCAGTTTCTCATTTTTTGTACATTTCATGGAGTCACTCTTGCAGTTATTACTTTTCAATTAGAAAAGGTAATAATTTAGATAGTGGATTTTCCTCTAATGTTTCAATTACTATGAATCTGGGAAACTCTATACTTTGCGTCTCCGGATTGGAGTTGGATAAATTTCTTTTTATTTTTTGGTTTGTGAAACAGCCATAATTAATATTGGTTTTTCACTGGCCCTCTGCTCTACCACCCACCACAGAGTCCAACTTGTGTTGGGAGTATACCAAGGGGGAAACCCATTCACCTTGGTTGAGACCAGTATACTTGAGTTGGGAGTATGATTTTGAGTCCCTGCTGATTTCATAGATGGTAGTGATTGCCATAGACTTTAACAGTGGTCTATGTCTTTACCTCTCAATGTGATTGAACCCTCGGCCCCAGCTATCTAGCACTTATAAAGGGTTGGGAAGTGTTCCATGAGTGCTGATTGAAGAGTGTGTTTGTGGAGAAAAGAAACATACAGGTGCTAGGGCTTGATGGGACCAGCCAATTGATCAGATCAGGCATATCTGACCACCTGCCTACCCCAAGTAAAGGCCAAAGTGGTGTGTTAGGAATCAAGAGTAACTATTCCTGACTCCTGAAATCCTCAACCACCAGGACCCCGTCCTCAGACACACGGCAAACAGGTGGCCTCATTGGAGTTTCTGATGTCCCAGCTGACTGGGTGGTGACCTGAAAATGTGTGTGCGTGTGTGTGTGCATGTGTGTGTGTGTATATATATATATATATATATATATATATATATACTGACAACAGGCAATGTTTCCCTGTTTATTTCAGCAAGAACCAAGCTTACCTTGTTTGTCTTACCTTGCCTTTTTCTCTGTCATAGGTTTGGTCTCTCTCTTTACTTAATTTTTCAATAGATGACTACCTAATTTTGGCTAATACTGATTGGTGACTCATCAACAAAGTTAATCTGTAACATAGCAGCAATCGCCTTTTCTTCCTACTCTTAAAGTCGCAACTAGCACTGCCATAAGGATAAGGTTAGTGGCTACTAGTGACTACTCACTGGCTATAACATTTTTCAGCATTATTGAAAATTACAAAGTCACAAAGAAAAAACATACTAATGTATTTTTGTTTTAATATAGTAGACATTTAATCCATGTTCAATCTCCTCTTATTACTTTTATGATATAACAAAAGCAGTATAACTGATATTATAGTTATACAAGAATAAACAAAAATTATAATTTATTAAAATGAACAGAATATAATTTGTTGAAGAAAGAGAAGGAGGTAAAACTGTTTTTAAAATGCATTAAAAATTCTCTTATCTGGTTCAGTTTTAGTTAAAATAGAAGGGGACATGTTTTAACTGCAAAAATACCCAATTTGAAGAAAAAAATCTAAGTCTGTAATGAAAATAAGAGAGATGGAAGGAGCTTTAGAACTTTATTCAACTTGATGCCAACTATTCTCTTGCTTTGGATTATACTTGCATTTTTTTTAATTACATGGCATGGAGGTAATCTAACCACATTCTCTCTCACATAGTTTTATCCTGATACAAATTCATCTAGATAACCAGATTTCTTGTGAGTTCTCTGGGAGTATCTTGTTAGTACTTGTTCTGATGTTTCAGGGTCTGTTTTTCTATTTATTCTCAGGTGAAAGTATTGAGACCCAGAATATTTTTGCTTTGTATGAGTGTAGGATGTTCTTAGTCTGAAAGTAAGTTGACAGAGCTTTGGTGGTCTTGCTTTAGTGGAGCCAATGTGGTGTCAGCGTTGCAATCTTCTGAACCTCAGCCCTCTAACACATTACCTATGAATTCCCCAGGGGAGTTCATAGGTAATGTGTCACCAAGACTATCATTGGATAGGTTCATGGATTCAAAAGACAGGACTCTCTCCTTGAGTTGACATATCTCCAGTTAGGAGTAGATCTCTGAATGATACATTTGATTGCCTCCTATCATGATGATGAATGAAAGCATTGTGTGGGTTGGCCTCTACCAGCTCTCCTCACTCACTGGCAAGTCATACTTGATATGGTGAAAATGTTTTTAACAAAACAGTTTTAGGGTGTGAGCCATGAAAGAAATGACATCCTAGCTGATCTTCACTTTTGTGATTAGTATTAGTGCATAGTAATTTTTAAATAACATACAGGACTTTGGGGATTTGACTCTTGCAATGGGTGATAGGACATTTGCAGCAGCTAAGTGTATTGTCTCTTAGATAATGCCATTTCACATAGTTCATCTTGTCATGTTAAAACATCTAAGTTAAAATAGGTGACTGCTTGGGAATACCAAGTGCTGTAAGTGTGGATGTGTGGATGGTGTAATGAATAACAGCTCGGAACTGGAAATCAGAGAGCCGAGTTCCAATTCCAGTCAACTTTGTAATCTTTACCAGCTTCTTCATAGTTTGAATTCAAGCCAAGTCATTCTGGTTGCATGAAGTAAGCCAGGTTAAAAAGTTGAATAAATTGTAATGAAAACAAGAGAAACAGAAGGAGCTGTAGAAGTTTTGTTCAATTGATGCCAACTATTCTATAATCTTGAATTATGTTGGCAGTTATTTGTAATGAATAGTACAGTTCATTACATGGAAAGCAGGTAATCTCAACAAAGTCAACATGCAAAATTAAAAATAGAAAAAAAACAACTGAAAATCACTCCTGAAGTTGTTAGTATTAAAACATTTATGCATAAATGAAAGAAAACTGAATATTTTCATGCAATAAAAACAAACTGAAGTATGGCTGTTGTGTTTCAGGTCAGTATTTAACACGACAGCGCATTATGATGGTTCTGAAGATTATTCTGATCAGGACATTTCTTCAATTTGGAAAGGTAAGTCAATTGATTTTGAGCATGACTGTCTTTGACTGAATAGATGATAACTTTGTGTTGGATTTGGTGCCAGATGTGGGAAATTGTTGGCCATGGTAGAAAAAATCAGCAAGTATTGATTTTCAACAAGAGGAGAATCAAAGACAGTTCTCTATTTATACCACCTTGAATGACAGCAATATTTTTTTGTTTTCTTATTTCAAATTCTAGAAAATTTGAATTTAGTGGAAAAGAAAATTTCATTCGTTTTTTATTATTATCACTGCATATCTTTTTAAATATTCCTAATTTAGTACTGATACATTTAAATTTTGTGAAAATGAGTAGTTTGACTTGAATACTTTTCTTTAATGTCTATATTTTCCATAAATATTCAGGATTAAGAGTTTTATCAAAGAAGCCTTTTAAGCAAACATAGCTATTCATGTTCATTTGAAATTATTATTTTGAAAATAGCAGTCTGATTTTAAGAGGGAAAGACAGTGGGAACATCATCTAACAATATAAATGGCTGTTTTTTTTCTTCAAGAAATCAACATAAACATTATTTGTAATCAATATTTTAAAGACTAACAATTTTGTTTTAATTTGTTTTGAAAGTATTCATAATTATGATTTTTTCCCTTTTCAAACATAACCAGATGCACTCATTGTAGAAAACCTCATAAAAATTCTAGTGTTTAAATTCCACAATATAAGCAAACATTTCACAAAGGAAAGATAAATTTCATTGATGCATGAAATATATTAATACATGCAAATCAAATGCTGTTTTGACTTCTACTTCCAGTTTTACACAGGCTTTGGATGTAAAATAAATTAGTAGATTACATCATATGTTTATTATGATTGAGTCAAGAAAAAAAAACAATTTTGAATGATTATTTTCAATGAAGACAAACTCTTCCTACTTAGAGGATTAGTGCAATACAATCTTTTTAAACCACATTTGCATTCTATTTACCGAATTTTCAGTGTATGGCCTTCTGCCTATATTACTTGAACATCTGGTGAAATGTAATATTTGGATACATTTGAGATCCTGGAATAAACATGAGCTGGCAAATATATCTACATAGGTGAAATTTATCTTCAGTTATGCTGTTCATTAGAAGGTTTTCATCAGATGATCAATATAGGATCAGGCATCTTTTGGGGGCTAGAATATCATTACTATTAATCCAGGGTATGTATAGCACAAGATTTTGTCTATTGAAAGGTCCAGTTGTGTAGCTTAAGATATGTCTATCACATCCAACTGAATGTAGTCTCTGCTCTAGACCTTTGTAATGTACTTCTTTCTAAGTTATTAATTCCTAGAAACCTCAGATATTCTGTGGCTGAAGTAGCTACAAAACCATAACATTTTATCTTAATACAAAATCTATTACACCATTTGCCATTTTCTTATCTCTCTTACATTTTAAACCTTTTTATTTTCCCAATTTATATATAAAAATATAGGGAAATATGCGTTATTATTTTTACTGATTGACTGTAAAATTGACTATCAAAGGCAAAAGATATAAATCACAATTATTTCACAATGCCTCCTTTTACATGAGAGAGAGAGAGAGAGAGAGAGAGAGAGGTGGAAATTTCAAAGCAGTAGTGGAGATTCAGAGGTTAAGGCATCCATGAAAATTCATGTATGTCAGTATTTAGTGTTTTCAATGTTTAACAGCTTTTTCAGAGTCTGGATTCAAGCTAAGTCATTCTGGTTGCATGAAGTGTTCCATAGCAAAAAGTTGAATGATTTTTACTGAATACAAAGGAGACAGAATTGACTTTAGAAGCTTTATTCAACTTAATGTTGACTATTCCCATAAAAATAGAATGGAGCAAGCAACATTGAAATTGAGAATTCCACTTTTAACTGGGATCTTAGTGATCATAAACATTAATGAACTAGAGGAAATTATTTCATCTCAGTTTAGTTGACTAGAGCTATTGAAAAGTTGACTTTTTGCAATGAAAGGAGAAATCTGAACAAAGATTTCTTTATAGATAAAATGATTGATCATTGTTGTTGATCATTATATTTTATTGTACTGAGAATAAAGAGAAATAAGCTGAAGTTTGCAAATGTATGGACAATTGAATGCTGAGAAATTTATAATTTTATCAGGTTATGTTAACTGGTTGAAAGGATCTCATTAATAACATTGCCAGTATGAACCCACCATCCTAAGAGTGATGGTAAGTTTTCCAATTAATTGACACATGAAAACCTGGAAAGGGATTTTGGAACAGGCCATATTTGGAGAACCTTGGAAAATGACAAATTACATGTTTTTGATAGTAAATCAAACTAGCCCAAGTGGGGATAACTTAATATAAGCAGGTTGATTCTGGCCCTTGTAGTAGTCAGGTAGCTGGGGTGTGACAGCAGTTGTAGCAGTCATGTGGTTGAGGTCCAGTTACCAAGGAAGACACTGCAAGTTGAAATTACCACCCCTCTTTGCTACTTACTCCACCAACACTTGCAAGATACTATCTGAAAAGAGTTGGTCAACTGAAGAAACTTTTCCTAGTTTAAAAGTTTCTATTTGCAGACTGACTATTAAATTGAAGAGTTGGAAACCAGGTTTTGAAGACCAACTTTGTCTGTAGGCCTGAGACCAAAGTTCCCTGATTGTATTGTTGAACTAAACTGATAAATGTAACCCTCAACAAATAAAATCTGTTATTGTTTTTTTAAGCAAGAGTTGGTTGCCTGTTCCAAAAGTCATTTCCTTGTTTATTTTTCTTATAACTTTCCTCCTTCACACCAAAGAATGTTTTAAACACTTTTGCATAAGACTTCCTTAGATCAAAAGTTTAAAAACAACATTGGTGGGAAAGATCAGTTTACAAAGTGAGATACCCAGCACCAGAAAGGCATCAGAGTGTGCTTCGTCTTATAGTACACTGCTATCTTTTCAGATGAGTTTTCAATTGCTGAATTTTGAAACAGCAGATGTAGATGTGTCTAAAGAGTGCTTATCCTAGAGTCTTGTTTGAACCATCAGCAACCTACTATCAAATATGACAGATTTTTTAGTTATAGTTTGGGAAGCAATTTAGAATTTTTTAATGAGAAGTCCATCAAATATTGATTTGTATGATAAAATACTCTTGAATTGTTGAATAAATACTTATTAATTTTTGTCTTATCTGTATATATATTGATTGGGTATCTTGTCATGGAGTATTGATTACCAAGCTAATCTAAATGATTGTTACTACTCATTACTATTGCAGTGTCTTTGATCTTCATCTTCATATCTGTGACCTTGGGTTAGATCAGTGGTTCTTAACCATTTTTTACTCATGGACCACTTTTACTCTTAATTTTTTTTTGGTGAACACCCATAACTATTTAATGAAAGAAAAAAGATTATTTTTTACTAATAGATAAATTTAGGTATTATAGAAATAGTAAATGTATATGCTTTATTTTGAAGTAAAACTAATTTAATGAAAATAAACTTGTATTTAACAACTAAATTCTATGGAACATTTATGTACACTAGTAAAATAACTCATAATAAACCATTTTAAAATATGTGAGTAATGTGGCACCATTTACCAAGGCAAAAAGAAAAGAAAGGAAAGAGAGGAAGGAAAGAAAGGAAAAGAGAGGCGAGACCCAAACGTGGATGATAAGTAGGACACCCACAACTAAGAGACAATGGATAAAGGATATTTTGATAAGTAACAAATGGCGAAGAGTGTCATTACAATGGCAGGGAAATTCTGAGTGGATGGGGGAATCGTTGTGTTCTGGCATCGAGCTGTGTTATCAGGGATACATAAACAAACCGCTAATGTGGGAAAACATCTGATTAAGCAAACCACAGACCGACTAGCCAAAGAAAAATCCAATTGAAAATGTTATTTTGATAATTGACAAAAAACAGGTGAACTACAGGGCTTTGGATAGATATGAAAAATTAATTGTGTCAAAGCCACACACGAGGTGGCGACTGACCGTTTTCTTTCGACAGAACATTTTTTAGCTGTGATAACAAACTATGTTATCAGTAATGTTCACCAAAGAGTGACTGGAACCATAGAAATGTTTCTTTTCGAGGCGACAGTCTGGCCGTGTTAAATAGACCACCCATTCTGATAATTAGCGATAATCTGACAGACGATGTCCAGATGAGACCGGGTAAAATAATTTTTTTGAGCGAGATATATTTTTTTTTTGTGAAACAAAGCCAAACAAAGCCGGGACCGTACGCCTGGCTGGACATCATTGGCCGAGTGGTGATCACGTGACGTAAGGAGGAAGCTGTCACCGCCCATTTAGAGGATGGGTATGAGAGGTCGCCATGAGGAAGTGGGGAGAACAACCAACACTCCCCTGAAGCATGGTGAGAAGGTGGGAGTAAGAGAAGACTCCCAAAAAAAATGGAAAGAAGTGGAAAATTCCTAACCAAAAATAATAGAAGTGGATAGGTATTTAGAATTATCGAGGAACCCCCTGGCGCCGACAAACCCACCCCGGTTTTTGTCGGCGTCCATATAAGCGTAGTCGCAGCGAAAAAAATCAGTTCCAGCAGAGAGTTCCAGAGTTGAGTTCGAGAGACAGTTCCCAGAGTCAGTCTCCAGTGCTCAGTTGAAGCAAGCCTCGCATCGGCTGACCAAGATTCGTGCAATTTCCGGACTCATCTTCAATCCAAGAACAATTATTTTGAAGAGCGACTTAGATCCAGACCACCAAAATAAGTTTCTTTTGACTTTCGCCCGAAGACACACCAAAAAAAAAAAAAAAATTTCTTAAAGAGCAAACAACTTGAAGTGTTAAAACTCGCCTAACGGAAAACAATGTGTCACAATCCATAGAACGGGTCGGGAGATAGACGCAGTCCTATGTATCCAACAACTAGACATAAAGTTTGTTATCCTTTTCTTTGATACCTTGAACTTTTGAGTTATCATTTTATTTCTTTTATACGTATTTGTGCGATACCACCCCCGCTTGGACCCAACTTGCATTGCGGCCCCAACGACTGATTGATTTCGTCTGCCTAAGATCGATTCACAACGTGGGTAGGCGGACTGGAGATCAACGCAGTTACTTTGGTAACCAGGCGTTGGAAGCGAATTGGGAATGACGAGGCTGGTGTCGAATCTAACCAGATTCCCATCCGAATCACCAAAAGGTTAGAACGTCACATTTGGGTGTTGCGACCGATACCAAGCCAGTTGGTCGTCACAGGACGAGACAACACGACTGACGCGACAGGCGGACGTCACGTTTGGAGCGGCGACACCCGAACGAAGCAGCGAGAAGCGAGCGAAGGCTGTGTTCAGGGACGTCACAGTAATTAATAAATTTTTAAAAAATGCAGATTTATTTAATGAGGTTGATGCTGCTCTGTGAGTTTTTTGTATATTCAACTCCATTGATGTCAATGATAGTTGAAGATTGCCCCTTTTTACAATGTCGAGTTTATTACTATATTAATTAATTTATATTGATATTTTATTAATATTTAAAATTAATATTATTATTTATTATTAATATATTAAATTAATTTATATAATAAATTATAATCTTTATATAATATTCCTTTATATATATAATCCTTCCTTTATATATTCTTCTCAGTTTTTATTCAACTTTTACAATCGACTTACATAAGTTTGATCTTGTTTTCTGCTAGTTTTAGAGTTGTTTTTCTATTTTTACTATTTTAATATGATGTAAATTACTATAGGAATTCCAATTTTCAGTTGTAATAACTGTTCTGAAGTAAAATTGCTCCATTGGCCACTCAAATCTTACCATGGACCTATAATTTGCTATTTTTTATATGGACCCCAGTAATGTTACATGTAACCCTGGTCCATATCCCCCCACAGGTTGAGAACTTCTGGGTTAAATTAAGCTGAGCTCAGAAAATGTTTATAAGTTTGATTGAAAGCTTTTCTGTATAACTGAAATTAAATTTACCTTCCTGAAAAGTTTCCTATCATTTTTCCAGTATTGTCTTTTTAAGGTTCATTTACTTTTAAGAATGTTAAACCCACTAGAGGGAGGAAGATATTCTTATAAGGCAAGGGTGATCATTCTTTAATAATTGATGTGACACTTAGCTCCAATAATTGTACTAAGCTGTACTTTATCTAGAATGGCATAATCTTCTCTAATCCCATCTTACTTACCTGGTGAGCAATATTTCTTTGGAGAAAGCAAGAATCTCATCACTTTTCAAGTAATATTTGTCAGTGAAATTTTAGTTTCATTAGTATTTAACATTTTAAAGAAATTTATATGTTTTAGAAATTGTTTAACGATTGAAGCATATTCCTATATCTGATATGTCTGCTGATTTCACCAATTTGTAAGGAGTTGTACAAAAATGACTGGAGATGTTGGTGTAGAATACACTTTAAAGTACAGTACAAAATTGTTTCTTATAAGTTCTTTTCATTTTTAAAAAATTAGATTCTATGCTTAAAAATTGAGTTTCTCTATGGATGATATATATAAATTGTTTATATCACCTGTGATATCATAAGTAGGATTTTTTAAGAAAATAAGTTAAAACTCATTCCTATAATGATTCTCAAGTATATGGTGGCAAAACTTATCATAGCAATAGGAAAAGAAGTTTTTTTTTTAACAAAGAAACTAAATATTTCTGGATGTAGGGAAATATTTCCACTGCATATATATATATATATATATATATAATTGTGCATTCAATCCCTCTTTTATACAAGTTTTGTTAAAAACGACTGATAAGGTACTGTGTTTAAATTTTTTGTTAAGTTTGTTTTGTGTTCTTATAATTTTTTTCTTTTCTGGACATACGTTATGTAGAAATTGTCCAAATATTTTGTATGTCTGAGTGCTTTTATCTATTCTTTTAACCATTATCAAGGATGATTTTATTTTTACTTTTAACCGAATGTATGAATTTTTTTTAATGTATGTATCTAGAGTTATAGGAATGTTTTATTTTCCAAACACAGTTAGCACATTGTGGTTATATTCATAGTTGATATTAATGAGTGTTGGCTTTTTCTTTTTTATTATTAATGATTATTAATGATTCCATTATTTTGTAGCCTTTTTTTATGGATGTGGTTATTTGTATTGTCAATAAATATGTTGCGGATGGAGTTTGGTAGGTCTCCATGTGTATTTAAATGACCTAATTTAGCTATGGTCAGAGAGGTATAATATGAGTTTTCTTGTTAGGCATGTTGTAGTATATCCAATATAATTATTCATTTATTGGTTATTTGGTTTTATCAGGAACACAGTTCCTTAAGGGACATGTGAATTCATAAATAATATTGGGTCTCTGTAATTTGGACCTTGTAAGTGTGTTATTGTTATTGATGATGAGGTTAGCAGTTTTAAATTTTTTATAGTAGATAATTTAATTTTCTTGCTTTTATTGACTGAACTTGTATATTTTGTTATAATGTTTCTATGGGTAGATTCATCCTGCTTATAGTTACTGTGCATTTGATTTTTATAGAAAATGTTATTGTTTTTATCTGTATGTTCAGTGTTGATATTGGTTACCTTAGAAAGAAAGGTCTAATTTGGTTAATGATGAGGTAATTCAGAAAACTGTTATTAACTAGTGTCTGTTTCACATAGTTAAGTTCTTTAAAGAAAAGTGAATGAGACAATGATTTCTTGTGCACTCTCATTTTTCTTTCTGAGGTAACCAATAGCAACACTGAACATGCAAATAAAAACAATAAAACTTATGCATGGATTTTTATTATTAGAAAAACATATTAAGTGTCTTATTCTTAGAACGTCTTATCTTCTTACTAATAAATGTTTTGTGTATCTGATTATTTTCCTCATTTCAGTTAGTGATACTCAAAGTGAAGCGGTAGAGATTCTAAATGAGAAAGATTTGGAGACATTTGTAACCATTTATTTGGAAGAGTCAGATACAGATATTGTGTTTGAGTTGTTCAGTACATGTGTGATGGCTGGTACTGCAGAGGAGGAAGCAGTTTCCAAACGCAACCAGCAATATAAAATTGTAAGGATAAATTTTTGACTATTCAGAGGCAGTGTATATTGTGCACTCTTACATTTTTTACCATTATCTATGCAATAATTTTATAATGATACCATTTTTAGTACATTATTAAAAGTTATTCCACATTTCCAAAATTAATTTGCAAATTATTGTTTTTGTTATATTGCTTTATTATTTTTATATGTTTCTAAAATACCTTTTTAAAAAAATCTCTAGCAAGATTTTCAGATCTAAAAACAGCTAGCAAATTTTTAACAAAAACCAAAAATCTCTTTATCAAAAAATCTGAATTATTCATAACAGATTAGATGGTGTAAAGATGATATAATTAATCCTTTAGCATTCAACACACTCAAATCTACCCTGTAAATATTGGTTCACAAAGTCTCACTGTTTGTGGTCAAAGTCTCATGGTTTGCATGACTTCCTGCATTATTTGCAATGTTGTTGTCATATATTATAGTAGAGTATGGATGAGGCAGGTTGAACATTGAGAGCTGACATTTACAGGGTGAGTTTTTGAATGCTAAAGGGTTAAGCATTTGCTTAATTCATTAACTTAGTAAATTTATCCTGATTAGTGACTGAAATAGTAGCATATTTCCCAGTGTTAGAACCCAGGTAAAAAATAGGGTTACAAGTACTCATGTTAAAGGGAGACAAGCAAGCCTCTCCTACACACACACTTCATTTGAGCTTGTGCGATGTTAAGCTTAGTAAATATCAATAACTTATTTACTTTATTATAGCTTTACAGAAACATTTGAAAGCAGAGTGATAATCTAATTTTCTTTTCTTACTGATATCTTCTGCACATTAAAAAAAGTAAAATAATAATTTCAAAATCCTGTGAACATTCCTGACAGGAAACTTAACCCTTACCTCTCACTCTTTAAACCTTTTAATTGTGAGTCATTATACAGTAAAGATATTACTAGCTGATAAGTCAAATGCAGACCATCAAGTGGTTTTTTAGTTGTTATGAGTTAATGTATTGATAAGTTACTATGTTTTGATAACCTGGTTAGATATAATCATCAAACTTCAGTCACTCTATAATAAAAACAAGCATCAAAGTGTATTTCCTTTTTACACAGTTTATTTAAAAAATTAAAATTTTTGCTCAAATTTTTCATTCTATTTAATGACTATTTTATTTTGATGTTTTTCAGTTTCCAAAAGCTTGCTAACATTCCTTTACATTAGAAGTTACTTCCCTTGATTAGCAGTCATCCTGCCAAAAAGAATTAATACAAAAATTTTGAGAGAAATTAAACTTAAATCAGTGAAACTTGGACAAATTTTAAGAATTGTTTTTGTGTTTTTTATCATGAAGTATTTGAATTATAGTTTCCTTTTATGGAATCAACACAGAGAAACATCTGCATATAGTGAAGTGGATTATCTCAAATTTAAAACATTACAATTTTTATTTTTAATATATTTAAAAATGTGATTTGAAGAGGAGTTTGTTACACAAAGTAGTGCTGATTGGGAAGAATCTCTCCAAATGAAACTATCTTCATAGTAATGGAATATAAAGGGAATGGGGATGATTTGTCACAGTGTATATGGCATGACTGGTCTTAGCTGCAAAGTTCAAAACTGGTTGAACTAAGAAACGTAGCTTATTAGAACATGGGAATAGTGATAGAGTAATGAGAGGCTTGCAACATTTTATTTGTGGGAAAGTGGTTGTAGTGTGGAAAATAATTCATCCTTCAGTAATTGTAAGATTTTAGATTAACATTTGTATAGATGAAGAGGTATTGTTTGTACACTATTCAGAAATATAGAGAGGTATTGTTTGTGTTGGCAATTTGGTGAAGTTTTAGAGGAATTGTAGATAGCTGATGTATAGTAAGGTAATAGTCACCTCTTGGATGGAGATTAAATGGAAGTCACTTGATTGTTGAATCTGTTCAAGTTCATTGGTAAAAGTTGGCCAATAAGCTACTGGTATAACTGCTTTGGAGCCACTTCTCTTGTGATTTTATGATGTTAGGCTAAACAAAGGCTTGAGTCTGTACTTGTGATATTTGAGTGTGTAAAAAAGAAATGAGATTAAAAACCAAGAAACAACGATAATGATAACAAAGGAGTCATTATTACCTGTAGATAATATAGTGAACAACTTCATTACTGAATGAATGAACTGGTTTGTTATGATGTTGATAGTTGAAAAATTGTACCATTATTTTGCTGTGTGAGTAATGTTGAGTATTCTTACTTGAAGTAGTAAATATTGTTTCACTGCCTTCTTGTGTGTAAATAGTGAGTGAAGTGTATTAATCCCAGGAACTAGTACAGTGGTTCCCAAACTTTTTTCTCTGGCCTGCATTTTCGGAATTAAAATATGCTTGCATCTCACCACATTTTATGTGAAAAAAAAGTACATCTAAAATAAAAAACAGAGAGAGGGTTAAAGGGAGATAACCACGGATTTGAAGTCAGAACATCATCATTGATAATTCTTTCCTTCAATTTGTGAACCCTAGTTACTATATTCTTAATATTTGATACAATGCAAAAATATCACAGTGATAAAATCGTTCAATAATTATTTATAACTATTTATACTGGAACTTATGCATATAATTAGAAGTAATCTATAATAATATTTAAAATTTTAAAATCATATTTATTTTTGGCATATGAATTTTTTAAAACTGTTTTTAAATCTTTGATTGACTTTCAGTCATCCCACCTCAACTATAGTAACTAGGATCCACAAATTGGAGGAGAGAGTTATCAATGATAGTGTTCCTACTTTGAATCTGTAGTTATCTCCCTTTAACCCTCACTCTAGACTTTCTTTGCTATAGGGCTGCTTGCACCTTTTCACCGGGCCTTTCCTTTGGTGAGGCGTGAACAAATTTTAATTCTGAAAATATGACCTAGAGAAAAAAGTTTGGGAACCACTGGCCTAGTCCAACATGTTATCTTTACAACCTCTATCAGTTGTTATGAGAGGGATGGTATCCCAATTCATAAATGCAAGTAAATCTCTTGGGAGGTTTAACGACAATCATCTAGGGCTAGATATCATTGTAATGTAATTGATGGCATTGTGTCATGAAGAAGAGTAGTTTGTAGAAAGTATGAATGAAATTACAAAATATACTTTTTTTTTTTTTGTTTCATCATTTTATGTCCTGCTCCATCCAGGAAATTAGTCCTAACTTTAATTGTCTGATACTAACTTGATTTGGGAGCACTGGCATTTCAATTCTTCAGCAATTGGCAAAAGACTTCTTCAGGATCAAGATAACACAACTTGTACTGAGGAGGATTTCCAATCAAGAATAACGTCCTTGGAGTCTAGAGTAGTCTATCGAGCCATTCTTGAAGCTAAACTGTTATATTATTAAACCTTATGAAGAGGGCAAGGAGTATCAAGTCAAACAGTTATAGAACCTTTATATCATATGATACTTATAAAGAAGTTAGGAAGTGTTGAGTAGCCCTTTCTCACATTGAAATACCATGAAAAGCAAGACGCCAGATACTGAATGCTCAAACCAGCATGCCATTCTTATAAGTTTTTCCAGTTATATGAGAAAAACATTGGAAAAATGTCTCTTCTATCTGAAAATCAGTCTCTATCTTCTATCCAAGTTTACTTATGGAAAGGAAAGTAAGTTTTTAAAAAGTACAGCCAAAAATTAATGTATATTTTCAAATGATGTTTAAATATTTTCCTGTTCCAATTGGAAAGAAATGATAGGTACAAACTGGTGCTGAACAGTTATCTGTCAGACCTGTTTCTTAAAATCAGTATTCTGATGTTTGGTTATTTAAATACTAATTTTTGGAAGTGGTTCAGACTAACAACATTTCAGTACCAACTCAAAATTGGATTCCTTGTAATTATTACACATGAATGCACAAATTCTTATTAGCAGTAGTTTAAATCTGAATGATTGAGTGATTTAATTCAAGTAAATAAAAATATGATCCACTTTTTATTATGCTTGATTGCATACTGTTGGAAACTTTTTCAATTCATAAGAAAAGCTATGAGATACAGGTGTTAATATTGTAGCAAAATAATTAGATTTATACAAACTCATTTATTATTTACACTATATTCAGACTCTTGTCCGCATCTTTGTTGTTAACACAATATTTCAGCTGTTGTGCTCATGTTTAGGGATATTTACTAATATTGAAAATAAGAACTAGATGATATCCCTAGACATGGACAGTGGAATGAAAACATTTTTATTCCTGTAGATTAAATAAAGGGTTCAGCAGAATTCACTGTTGGTTACTGATATGTCCTGGAAAGGGATATATTCGTTCGAAGTAGAAAAGTGGTTGTTGACTACTGTAACTGGGTAGGACAATCTAGCAGGTAACCATAATGGACTGGTCCTTGTCGTAGGGGTAGGCAATAGGCGTAGTCAATAGGCATCCTCAATCAATCTGTATTTATGGCTGACATCAGCCAATCATATTACTGTGAGGGGGAACCCAGGTGTATGCATATTCATTACATCAGTTACCCAGATCAATATACACCTGATGAAAGCGGAAGAGCCCAACAAATATGAGAACAAAGATGAGGACAATAGTTTGAATATAAATAGTGTAAATAATGATAACTCCTCATCCCAGAAATTCAGACAGAAACTTGTTTTTTTAATGAAAAGTAGCATTAAGATCTTAGTTTGCCTTTTAAAAAAGATTTACAAAATTGAATCTTAATATTTTTGTTATTTTCCAGTTGGTCAATAGTCGAGATGGTAACGATCGCTATGTCTCAAAAGAAATGAATACATTCAATAACCAATTGAAACTGAAACATATCCAAACAAATCCAATCACCTATCAGGTCAGATATTCTTATTTTATTACATCTTATTCAATGGTATTTTAAAGAAAGATAATTTTATATTTGCAATTCTCTTGATTGTTGCTTGCATAAATCTATTACACTTAACAAAAAATGTAAATTACTAAAATTTAATGTTTATATGAATAGATTTTTTTTAAAAAGGAAGTGCTCAATGTCAAAAATAGAGCAACAATAGTCAAGATATAAAAAAATTCAAAAAATTTATCTTAGCACTGACTTCAAGTTTTGCAGCTATGCCACTCATTACCAGCCTATGATGTCACCATAAAGTATAATGACCAACATAGATTTTTAAAAATATTTGTATATGTGAAAAACATCACATCTACATGACCCCAGTATGACAAAGTTTTTGATTACAAGCATTCAGGCAATATCTACACTCATTGGACCCAAACATATTGCCCTCTTGTATATAAACAAGAAAATTTAACTAAAAGATTTAAAAAAGAAAACTTGTCTATTGTTGTTAATGAAATTTATATATATGAATTTCCCACTGCCATGAACTTGCCTCTATGTGTCTTTTCTATAAATACTTTCATGGTAAATGTTCTTTGCTATGGTACCTAGACTTTTTAATTTAAGAGCAGTGACAAGGTCTCATCAATTACAGTTGAGTTGGCTAGATGTAACCATAAGTTCTATGTTAGCAGTTTCTTTTCTTGCACTTCTGGAACTCCCTTCTGGCTCTATGCTTTCCAGCCAACTTTAATTTGCAAAAATTTAAATGCAATGTCAACCACTATCTACTGTTCACTTGATTACTCTTTTCTCTTCCCACTCATTGTTAATGTTTCTGTTTCTAATTCTTCCACACCCTGTAACCCCTTGTGTCTTAGTGGCTTTACTGCCTGGCATGGAGTGATATGGATTAAAAATAACCCACATATTTTTAAAATGTAGGTGAACATGGCTCTCTCAGTAGACACCTTTTTCTTTATTATTTGTAAGTTGCTATGACTTCTTAGGAAAAATGGTTTCCTGTTGCCTTCTCCAGTTTTGAATTAAGAGTAATTCTTTTCATAATATTTCAAGGCTAGAGATCCCTGTCTACCCTGTCATTTGACCATAGCTGGTAGGGGTAGTGTTAGATTCATATGAAGGTGAATGGAATTTGAACTCAGTTTGTCAATTAAATTACATTCTATACCAATAACCATTGCATTAACTGCACATGCACACATACACAGTTATATAATAGCATATCATTATTATAATATGTTGGTTCCAATCCTGTTAGGAATAACTGCAAAACACTTTCCTTTCCCCAATTTATAGGCAGAATCACACAAATGCATGTTGGGATTTCTTCCTAGCCAATAAAACAGGTCAGTTCTTAGTTTCATATGACAGAGTCCTGGTCTGTCTTGTCTTAAAGCCAGAACACTATGTTCGTTTATGCAAATTTTCTTTTGTGTGTCAACCCCCATTCTTAGTTTATGAACTTTTTACCATATTACTGTTGCTTTGCCTTGCATATATTGTTTGCTTGCTTTATACTATTTTTTGTCCTGTTCTTTTCTTTTTCTTGTTATTGCTTATTACAAACTTTGTCAGTTCTGTTTGTTGGGAAGTTCTGCCATTTATTTATGTTTAACCATGGCTACTCGCTCTACATAATAAATTGTCAAATCATATCTGTAGCAGGTATATATTCTTTTGATGAGAAGTTATAAGCTCTTGGTACATTTGACCCACTAACAATTTTGGTGGACTTGTATAAACCCAAAGGAATAATAAGACATAGAATTTGAACAAAGAAATATTAAAAAAAATATATTGTCAGGACATTTTACAAAAGAAAAGATAAAAAAAGAAATGAAATGTGAAAAGTTCAAAGCAACTTTAAGTGTCTGTAGTTGATTACTCACATTTTGCAGGAGTGAAAATAATATGTCTTTTCACTATGAAAAGTTGAAAAAGAAGTTGAATCTTTTGAATCTTGTGCCACCTGTAAATTGTCAGAGGGTGATAATTCCAAGATCTTGCTGCGGTGAGATTTTATTAATCATGGAGCAGTAATACAACACTTTAAAGCATTCAATACTTTGTATTGTCTATTAAAACTTTGAAAAAGTCATTAACATTTCAAATTCAGCTTGAAACCCCTTTTTTGTGTTATGTAATTTTATGAAAAAAAAACTGGTTTCATCTCTTTCTCAAAGAGATAAATATGTAAGTTAAATGATTTTTATTTCAACTGGAATTTAAACAGTGTTTGCTGATTCTATTTTCCTAGCTTGTTACCACTGAATTAAAATGTGTAATGATGTCAATAATTCTTCTCTCAAAAGTCTTTATTTTCTTATCCTATTATCTGAATATACCAGTAAGTCCTATAAAATCACTGTTTTAGATTTTGATATTTTCATCTGATTTCATATGCACAATGTTTTCTGATAAAGTATTGTTCCTCAAGAATTTATGCACCTTCCTTTTCTCAGAACACTTGGAATGAATAAGACATCTTCTTACATGACACACAATGATTTAAAAGATCAGAAATTATACAAATTTAAACATTTGATAAAAAGGCAAAAAAATTAGAATTTAATTAATTTTATTGAAATTTTCCTCAAAGAATTTGCACCATATTTTATGCTTTATGCTTCAGAATACTGGTGTTATGGCTTCCAACTGGGACATGTATGATAGTTATCGGGGTATCCAAACTCAAGAAGGTAAGGTAATTTCATTACATGTTACTTTCCTGAAAGCACATACCAAAAAGTTTTTTTTTTCTGCTGACTACAGAAAAATATAAAATGATCAGATAAAATACTTGACAGTTGTAAATTGAATTATCTCCCTTATGACATTTCACACCTATTGTAGAGTTACCTCCCTTTTATTCTCATTGCGCTGTTCAACACTCGGTTTGTGATTGATTTTGTTTTGGAAATATTTCATTTTATCATATGTTAAGAAGAGGGATAAACATTTGGAGGATTATTTTTTTTATTTTTTTAAAATCAGTTTGAATTTGGCAGTGTGTGTGTGTAATAAAAATAATTACACATACCTACATTTACAGTATGACTCAGAGTTTCATGGCTTTGACAATCATCAGGTACAAAAAGTTACAAACTTTTTGTACCTGATGACTGGCAAAGCCATGAAACTCTGCATTTTACTGTAAACGTAGGTATATGTGTAATTATTAATATATACCTTTTAGCTTTGTTTAACTACATTGAGCACTGTTTTGTCTACACCATTAAGTTATTTACTCACCTGTATGTATACTTAATTTCTCATATATATGGTTGATTGTATCTCTTTATTTAGATTGTTTCTACATCTATCTATCTAATAGCTTTAAATAGTTTTAAAAAATAGTTAGACATCTCAATTACTTACCCACCTTACTGCGTGTGTATGCTTACATCATAAAATTTTAAAATTGTACAGTATATAAGTTTAGAGTTTTTCACTTCAAAAGTAAAAAATATAATTTTTAGATGAACACAACAATTTTGTCTTAGATAAAACAAGACCCTGCAGATGACATTGTGCTAATGTTGAAAGTAGTTGGAATAAAATGAATACACATCAACATGGTAACTTTCTTTCTTCCTTTAATAAGGATACTAAGAAACTTGTTGTAAATATGAAAGGATCCTATTAAGAATAAGTAGGCAAAGCTTGTATAAATTATTTAATGAGACATGTCTTAATACATATATATAGGTTTTGTTAAAGACGACGGAGTTCTTTTGGACAGTTTTTATACACACTTTATGTCCAAAAAAGAAAACTGCAAACTCAAGAAAAATTAAATAACAAAGTGGAAAGAGTTTTTATGTGGCTCGTTTCATCCTTTAGGATTAAATTGGACTAAATTTGTTATGTTGGTGTGACTACACATGCATACAAACAAGGGATGTTGGGAATTTTAAATTTAATTTTTTTTTTCATGATGGAACTGCTCATGTGTAGTTGCACCAACATAAATTTAATCTGATGAAGTCCTAAAGAGCAAAATGTGTCACAAAAACTTTTTTCATTTTGTCATACATTTTTCCCCATATATATATCATACTATGTTTTTAATATAAGACTATAATGAATAATATGTTGTTTATAAGTTGTGTTAGATTACAAATTTGACTTGTGTTATCTTGTGTTTAGGACTAAGGCAGAAAATGATGAAAAAAGTTTAAAATTTAATAACATTTATTTCCACTGGTATGTTGGTACAAAAAGATGTCTGTCAATTGTGTCAAGGAAACTAGGGTTCAATTAGCTATAAAGCTCAATTTTGTTCAATTTTCAAAATATCTGATACACTTTCCTTTTAAATACTTTATGACCATCTTTGAAATATGACAGATTCCACAATCTTCAGGTGAAATGTGAGACAATCAAGGCTGTGAACTCAAGCCAAATTTTGCTCATTTACAGTTGATTGTCCTAACACAGAAGGCTGTAGTCAGTGAATCAACTACTTGTACAACATGATAGCTGGACAGATGATTGTGGGACTTGCCAACAAGGAGCACCAGAGATGAGTTTTGGCCAACCTCACCACGCTTGAGCAAAAGTTTGACTGATTTGTCAGCTTGGAAATGATGGACAAGTCAGCTGCACAGTTTACTAAATGTTGTTAGCTTGTCCTACCTACAAATATCTGGCTATGAGCACTGTGTGGTTCAACAACCCCAAAGAACTAATTTACCTGCTTCTTCACTGAATAAGAATCCGTGTGTGGGTTGCAGGAAGACATTCCACCCCAGTGAATCAATTAGTAGGAGAGATTGCCCAGCAGCTAAATTGGTATGTCATAATTGCAAGTTTAGGGGGCACATAAAAAGGGTTTGCCAGAAATCTCCTAAAATTTAAATTGGAACAACAAACTGATCAACAATATATGAGACAGGGCATGATTCGTTCACTTTCTCAAACACTAGTCTGAAAGTTCCCCTCACCTGTGACATCCATTATTCTGGCAGATCAAAACGGAATTGTAAGACAGGTGTGACACTGCCTGGGGCTGTGCCTCATCTTCTGTGGAATGGAAAGCAATTTAAAGGAAGTGTCTCAGATCCACCACCACCATTGACAATAGAAAGGAACATCATGCATCAAACTCATGCTTCATTTGGACTCACACAGATGAGTCCAATTAGCCATGGTAACCATTGCATCCTTGCATTTGCTGATACAGAGGCTCAAACTTGTTCAAGTGGACCACAGATATTAAAACTACACAGGTGCCTGGACAAGTACCTTGTGCTAACTAGTCACCAAATATGTGGCATCATGGACAACCGACTTCATATAAAGAGTATGTTGTTCATGCATATAAGAATTGGCTTGATAGAGATATGACAGGTAGTGTAATGGTCAAACAACATGTCTGGTTTTTACTTATCAGAATCTACCCTGTAGGACCTACACCTGTTGCCACCTGATTTCCCAGCCTAGACAACTCATTGAAGGGCACAAAGGAAAAATATCCTGTGCACATGCTCATGCAGAAAACCCATTTCAGTACCATCCTGTTCCTTCTAACAGAAACCAACAGGCATCTAGTGTAATGATGGATATGGGACCATTTCAAGTTCAGTGCATTTAATACATGCCCACACCAACCCATACAAACTATGACAAAAAAGCCAATGGACATTACCTTCATCCCTGATGTGATGCCATCAGCAGTCCACACACCAAACTCTGCCTCTCACCATTGGAAGAAGAGAGTGAAACAAGATGATGGATATCCCCATCAGTTTGATGATATTACAGTGGACATGGTTTGAAAAACCTGTTGCATAGACGATAGACTCCTTTGGGATGATTCTATAGAGTCCTTGTTCTAGCACACAAAGGAATATATAAAGCACTGTTGGAAGAATGGAAATTTCTTTAACCCTGACAAATTCCATTTTGCTGAAAACAAGGTAGAGTTTGTCAGGTTCTTAATGACAGCCAATGGTGTGAAACTCACAAAGACAATGACTGAGGCCATCCCTCACTTTCTTAAGCCCACAAGTATCACAGACGTCAGATCCTGGTTTGGACTGGTGAATCAATTATTTTATGCATTCTCACAAGCTGAGGTGATGGCTCCCTTCTGGGAATTACTACACTTGAAGAGCTGAAAATTTTATTGGGATGAAATGCATGACTAACTTTTTGAGGAATTGAAGTAATTGTGTGTAAAATTGAGGATGGAGTCAAGACATTCAAGATCAGTAAACTGACATGCCTTTCAACAGATTACTGCAAAATGGGAATTGGTTACTTTCTTTTTCAAAAACACTAATTACCCTGTTGAAGCATACCCAAATTGTAGTGATGGTCACTGGAAAATTATTTACCAATGAGCAGAATGCCACTATGCACTGGTCAAAGGTGAAACCTTGGCTCTTTTCTGTGGACTAGAATCATGTCGGATGTTTATGTTGGGATGTCCAGATAGGCTAGTAACTGTTGACCATCAACAACACATAAACATTTTCTCAGATTGGGCCCTCAAGAACATGAAGAACACATGTCTCTTTAATTTCAAGGAATGCTTACTAATGTACAAATTCAGCATTAAACATCTCCTTGGAAAACTTAATGCTACCCACTGACTGTGCCTCCTGGTATCCAGCTTGAATCCCATCAGAGGACTTGGCAGAATGTCCCCAAATATCATCTGCACAGATGCAACAGAAGTGTAGACAGTCATGCTATGAGGTGACCACAACTGATACAGTTGGACAAATCGACAGTGTAATCAAGGCAGCCTTCACATCCATAAATGAGTATGACCCCAGATTGAGGGCTATTACATGAAATAGGATCATTGCTGCAGCACCAATTGAGAAAAAATTGTCACTCTGACAGAATATATACGGATAGGTTCCTCCAAATTATGCCATGACCTGCTGTTGGGGATCTCTCAATTTTTGGCCATGCTTGATGAATTGTACTGTTTCGAAGAAGTACGGATCAAGGAGAATAATATCCTTATACTTTGACAACTTTCTGCAAAAGTACTTGAATCCCTACATTCTGCACACCAGGGTGTAAATAGCATGCTAGCAAATATGAGACAATACCTATTATGGCCTGGTTTGGATGCCAGTGTCTGGCAGACCAGAGCTCAATACTAGATATGTAACACTATTTCCCCATCACAGCCTTTATGCCGCTAACTCTGAATTCCCATTCCAACAAAATGTGATTGACTTTTTTGACCTACATGGTAGAAATTATGTTATATATGCAGATTGGTACATTGGTTGAGTGGAAGTGGTCCTAATGTCATTTGGGAAGGCCAGGGAATTATACAACACCCTGAAAACTTTGTTCTGCACATATGGTGCCCCCAGAAGAACTTTCCTCAGATGAGGGACCACCCTTTGATTTCCAAGAATATGACTTGTTCCTTAAGAATTGGGGAATATGGAAACATACTTTGTTGGATTACTACCCACAAAGCAATAGCTGGACAGAACTGGCTGTCAAAATGGCTAAGCATATACTTGCAGACAACTCAGACAGCTGTGGCCGGTTGTGTCATGATTGTACAGCCTGTGCTTTACTGACCCAATGCAATACTCCCATCCAGGATCTTGTTATTTCATCAAAGACCACCTCCCTATCCTACGGGACAGATACCAGATATATAAACAGTGGAGAGAAATTAGTGAACTGAGAGAGGCAGCAATGGCTAATAGGCACATGTGGAATGAACACTTTTACAATGAACATTGTTGCCCACTTCGGAAATTATAAATTGGCAATTATGTTCAAATCCAGAGTCAAAATGGCCCTTACCCTCATCAGTGGATGAAAACAGGGAGGATTGTGTGCGGATGAATGGAAGCAATTGGGTAACTCTACACAACTGTCGCTTCCTCCATAAGATCCACCTAGTTATTGACATCCTGCATCATTCTACCCAGGGACTGGGTCCCTTGACCTCATGGTGCCCTAATTTACAGCCAGTTTAAGATAGCAATATGGAAAATAGATTAACTACACATAGGCCAGAACCTCTGCAGGTCTTGGGGTCTGGCAGCAGTGACCTGGTAAATTCTTCATGGTGATCAACATGGATCAAATTCTATCCCCACAAAATGTGAGGACAATTACACATATTCTGGGACAAACCTTCAACTGACCACATCAATCGGTCCTGTGGTCAGAGGAGGGAGGGAGCATGTAGAGTAGAAATGGAAATTTTCATTAGATAATGGGAGGGGGACTTCTACAGACAGAACCTGGAGAACATAAGTTACCTCCTCTGGTGTTATATAAACAGCTGAGTGGCCAGGAGCCAAGTGTATTTTTGTATTTGTATCTTGTTAGTACAAGAATAAAGTAATTGAGAATTACTACTACCATTGTCATTGTGGTTATTTTACACAGTTCATTTTAATTTTTCATTCAATGAAAATCTACTCACTGTCTTTCTATAAAAAATCAAATTTGGAACCATAATGCTAATCTAAATTTATTTGGTTATAAAGTTTTCCAATCCTGTAAACTTAACACATTTTCCTTTTTGTTCCTATTCTTATAATTATCTCAAACCTTAATTCTCTTGATACTGGCTCATTTGGATAACATGTTTACTACTATAATTATTATTTACACCAATACAGTAACTTTGTTATATTAACTATTAATATATTTTTGTTATTGTAGTGATATGCAAATGACCGTCTAATTAGCATAGCTAAGGCATAGAGACTATATAAGTGCCCATGCAGTAAGTTGAAGGGCAGAATATGATATGCAAGATTAATGACTGCCGCCTGAATGAGAAATATGAAGGAAATCATATTTCATTATTAAATCTTAATTCTTGTCATCAAAATTTATTTTATTTCATTTATCAAATGATTGTTCATTGAAGCATGTGTTTTATCAGCTAAGTTGTGAATCTTGTTTTTTTTAAAAGTGCTACCTCCTATGACTGTTTTCTGAAAGTATATTCATGATGAACTAATAGCCAACTTTTTATGCTTCACTTGAATTATTTCATTAATTAAATATTGCCTTGTAACGAATACAGACTGATCTTGTCAAAAATATAATCAGACTGCTTTTGAGTCATTTGTTTAGGATTTATTTTTAATAACAGGTACAAATGACCAAATGCCTTTTCACATATTTTTTTTTATTGCCAAAACTAAAATGAGTGGAAAAATCTTGATATAATGAATAATTATTTCAAGAAGTCTACACTTTTATCTGATAACAGATCATATCCTTACTGCTACCAAATTCTCTTATTGCTAGTAAATTTGCCTAAGTGAAACATATAAGATGACAGCATTTCATTTCTGTTCTTTAGTTTCAGCATCAATGTTCAATGAAGTGGCTGATGAAGATTTTCTAGAAAAACCTTCAGACATGAAAATGTTTACAAGCAACCAGGAAGCTGATAGTGGAAAGGAAAAAAAAAAGTCCACATCTGATGGTAAGAAAATTATTCTGATAGCATTTTCACCAAAACAAGCACTTAATCTATTGTGCAAACTTGCTGTGAGAAACACTTGACTCAATTTTTTTTCCAACAATTCAAATGTCTTTATAGACATATTTTTACTGTCTGCTGTTTTTTTCTTTTTGATTATCCATGTAGACTGTATTGATAGTATTATTGTTGAGATGTTGTGAGTTTCCCGCGTGTTGGTGTATGAATTAAGACAAACACAGTTGTAGAGGAAAATACTGGTATATTCATAAACGCAATTAACAATAGAGTGATTAATAGAATGAAGGTTGGTTAGTACGAAACAATATCCAAAGTCTATAGTCCAACGGTATGTACCGGGTAAGCTTATCTGGACTGCTCACGCTGACTCTCTCTCTCTGACGCTCCCCCACTCTCTCCAGAGCTGACTTATATAAGAGGGACCAGTCCATTACTAGTTAGAAGGTGGGTGCGCCCCCCCGCTAAAATTGTTTTTTTTTTTTCTTTTTCATTGTGGGAAGAAAAAAAAAAATTAATATTTTTTCCTTTTCGGGTCTATTATTAAATTTTGTGTCGCTTTACGTTTTCTTGCAGATCTGCGTTGTTTCTGCTCAGTCTGCGGTATTTGTAGGTCAAACGTATCAAACAATTCGTGTAATTCGTCTTCTTGTGGAATTACTACCGATTCGTCGGTCTTTCTTTTCTTCAACTGGTTAATGTGCCGTTTGTGTGTAAATTTGTTTCCTTGTATAATGTATACCATATCCCCAATGCGTTTTTTTATGACCCCTGGTTCCCATGATGTTGCATTATTTGTATAATTTTTGAAAAAAATTTTCATTAATGTTAAATTTTCGCCTGGGAACCATAGCGACTGTTGAGTGTACCTTATTTTCTGGTATCAATTTGTCAAAAACCGATCTGACCTTTCTTGCGAACATTAGTTCCATGGTGATAGGCCTGATGGGGCAGATTTATTCGGGGTAATTCGGTACACTTGCAGGAACAGCTGTAACGCCTTTCTAGTCGGGGTACCTGTTGCTTTCCTAAGAGCTCTTTTTCAGTGTATCGACGAACCTTTTCGCTAGTCCGTTGCCATTTACTAAAACTGTCGACTACGACCAAATAATGCCATCCGTCAATTGGACCCAAGAAAATCAATGTGAATCCTTGACCATGGCCTGTCGGTTTTTGGCCATGGCTTCTGTAAAATTTGTGGTGATTTTGATGCCAAAATGCAGCCTTTACATCTGCCGACCATAGACGCGATGTCGTTGTCCATACCTGGCCAGTAGACGTATGCTCTCATGAGGCTCTTCATCCTATTTATGCCCGGGTGACCAGCATGAAAGTCTTTCAGTATTCTTTTTTGAAGTGTGTTAGGGATTACCACCCTTTCACTGTATAATAGCACATTATCGCATTTGAGAGAATGTCTTTTGAATTTTTTTCATCTTTACTGGCTAGCTTATTTTTTACTTCTATTATATATTTGTCTTTTTTTCTGCTTCTTTTTGATGTCCTTAAGCGATACTGGTAATTCTCGTATTATGTTTGCCAAATTTTCTTCAACCTCATCCTCTGCTCTGAGGGAAGCGATTACAGTATCCTCTAAAGGTTCTGTTGTTTTTGGGATGAGTCTTGATAGCCCATCTGCGTGACCAATTTTGTGGGTGGACAAATATTGTATTCTGAAATTATAATTTAATAAAATTGTCCCCCACCTAAGCAATCTATTTATGTAAGTTGGCAGACCCTTTTTTTTGGCCGAATATCGTTACCAGAGGCTTGTGGTCTGTCTGTAGCGTGAAAAACCGTCCATGTATGTATCGATGGAATTTTGTTACAGCGAAGATAATCACCAATGCCTCTTTCTCAATTTGTGAATAATTTCGTTCAGCAGGTAGTAGCGATCTGCTTGCATGAGCGATCGGTCGAATCTTTTTCCATTCTTCCACTTGTGCAATATGCACGCACCTTTCGCCATGTGTACTGGCATCGCTCGCTACGATGATATCTACCTTTGGATCAAAAATGTACAAGAAATAGATCTGAAGTTAATTTTTCTTTTATATCCTTGAATGCTTGCTCGCATTCTTTTGTCCAAATCCAAGGTTTTTTTTTTTTTAGTAGATCGTTAAGGGAGCTCGTAGAATGTGGAGGTCTGGGATAAAGTCCTGGTAATATGACACCAAGCCTAAAAAACTTTGTAGGATTTTAATATCCTTTGGCTCAGGCATATTTTTTTGCTGAAGCTCGACTTTTATCTGGCTTTTTCCTTCTTTTTATTCACTATATGTCCCAGATACTTGATCTCTTCCAGGAGAAAATCGCATTTGTTTTCTTTCACTCGAAATCTATATCTTCTTAACCTTTTGAAAACTTTGCGTAAATGGTGTTTGTGTTCATCCACCGATTCACTTTTTACAAGAATATCGTCGAGATATGCTATTGTGTAGTCTAACCCGGATAACATCGTATCCATAATTTTCTGAATATTGCGGGTGCTGTCTTCACCCCGAACAGTAACCGTTCGTATCTAAACAAGCCTTTATGTGTGTTAATACATAGTAACTTTGCACTTTCGTTATCCATGGGTACTTGCAAGTATGCCTCGCTAAGATCTATTTTCAAAAGATTTTTCCGCCATTTAACTTTAAAACACTTCTTCGGGACTTGGTAGTGAAACTCTTCTATTGCGTCGTTTAACCCGGTTGAAAAATCGGGCGCCACGCGAATTTCGCCCGACTTCTTCTTTTTTTACGTAGACAGCGGAGCTGCCCAGTCACTGTATTCTGTTTTAGAGATCACACCAATTCTCGTTAGTCTTTTTAAAGTTCTTGATCAATTTTCTCTAATGCGGCAAAAGGGATGCTTCGCTTTTTTTAAAAATTGGTTGGATATTTTTCTTCAGCTGTATTTTTTGCTGATGCTTCAGTGCAACGTCCAAGTCCTTCAGCAAAAAACTCGGGAATTCCGTTTTCAATTCTGCTTGTAGATTTTTTATATGGTCTTTGCTTTCACTAATGTTGTGGCAAAAAGAACTAATGGGCACGTCCCATAGGTTGAACTTAGTAATTGTGTCAGTCCCAAACAGGTTGTTTGTGTCTTTCATTACAAACATTTTCATTTTTATCGACTTATTGTTGAAAGTTATATTTACCCATATTTCCCCTTCAAATTTTATCTTTTTTTTCCAGTTACCGTCCTGGCTATTTTTGTTGGATTTTAGCAACGTTGGTTTTCCTAGATTTTTCCATGTTTGCGTGTTAATGATTGAAATGTCAGATCCTGAATCTAGTTGCATTTTTACCTTCTTGTTGTACATTTTTACATGAAGGTATTTTCGAATATTCAGGTCTTGATCTTCGTCTGACTTGGTAACTTTTACTCGACTTCTGTTTAATTTTCTCCACTTTGACATCTTATGTCCTACTTTTTTTGCAATTTCTGCACGCTTTATTTTTATATGGGCAGTCATTGTACCAGTGCCACTGGCCACATCCATAACATGCACTCGGAGGGTTTTTTTTTCTATAGCCTCTGTTCGTTCTTGTAGTAGGATACCACTTCCGTTCCGGCGATGGAGAACTGAAACTAGTCTTCCTATATACTTTCTTCACATTTGCGATAGCAGTTTCTTCTATTTTTTTTCTGAATCTTGCTTAATGCTTTCGCATTGCTGACAGTACTCAGCTAGCTTTTGTAGTGTCATGTTTTGGTCATTTTCTAGTTTTTGTTAAAATGCGTCTTCGCATTTCACTATCTTTTTAGATACTAAGCCTAGCATATTAGACACTTGAAATTGTCTGCCGATAATTCGGACAAGCGAAAATCGTCACACGTCTTATTTACGATTGACGCGAACGTTGTGTAATCTTCCTCCTCGCTTTTTGGATATTCAGGCATTTCCACCTTTTGTGAAATAATGAAAATCTGGGATTAAAAAAGCTCTTTTAATAATTCAATTGCTTCATCAATTTTAAATCTCTTGTCTTTTTGGGTAATATAAAATCTGTAAACTTGTTGTGTTCTGCCGTTCCCAGTTTTCGTAGCAATAATCTTATTTTTTTTCATCTGTCCATGTTTGGCAATCAACTTCATAAAAATCCTGATATCTATGGTAGTATCTTTCAAAGTCTTTTCCTCTTCTGGGTTATAAGTAAAACTTTCGATCGTTGACCATATTGTCTCTTGGGAAAAAATATTTTCATCCGAGTCTTTCTGCTTGGACAGTATAGCTTTATGTATAAGTTCGGCCATTGCTAACTGTTTCTTTTCATTTTCTTCTTGTATTTTGTGTAGTTCCAGAAATCGTTTTGCGTTTTTCTTCCTTTTGCTCTTTCTGAAATTTAAGTTGTTCTTCTTGAAATTTAAGTTGCTCTTTCTGAAAACGTTCTTCACTCTCTTGCTGTCTTTGCATCTGATACTTAATGAGTTCCAGCATAGTTGATTGAAATTGCTCCATGATTATGTATGTGTAGAAAAAAAGAAAAATTATGTTTTTTTTTTTTTTTTCTCTGAGGGGGCCAAAAAATTCAAATTTTCTGGCACGACAAATTTTTTTTTTTTTTTTTTAGCACAAAATTGGTTATTATAGCTTCCAATTTAATCAATAAGTTAATGTCTAACTTACAGTTTTTTTTTTTTGTCGATAACTTGTAATCCTTTGCTGTAAATGCTTGAACTCTTTTAAAATTTTTTCCGTGTTGGAAATCGGTTATTATTTCTGTTCGAAGCCAAGTCGCCACTGTTGAGATGTTGTGAGTTTCCCGCATGTCGGTGTATGAATTAAGACAAACACAGTTGTAGAGGAAAATACTGGTATATTCATAAACACAATTAACAATAGAGTGATTAATAGAACGAAGGTTGGTTAGTACGAAACAATATCCAAAGTCTATAGTCCAACGGTATGTACCGGGTAAGCTTATCTGGACTGCTCACGCTGACTCTCTCTCTCTCTGACGCTCCCCCACTCTCTCCAGAGCTGACTTATATAAGAGGGACCAGTCCATTACTAGTTAGAAGGTGGGTGCGCCCCAACAATTATATATGACATTACCCAATTACACCCATTTAATATCAATTAAGAAAATAATCCAATATGTCTATCCTGTGGGTATAAAAGCACAATTGATTGACTGAGTTGTTTTTTACAGTTTATCAACCCTTACTTAAAGCCGAAACATATTTTGGATTATAGGAATAAATCATTTTTTTTGTGGGTTTGATAATTTTTTTAGAATAACAATGATTTTTCCATATACAAGTTCTATTACTTTACCCATAGACATGGGGAAGATATGGATTCAGAATTTTCCCAAGGGTATTTGTGCATAAGTGAATGTAATGAATCTGACTAGAATTTCAACTTGGCTCTCCAATTTCTCATTCTGAGTCACTTTACACCACCCAGACATCTGTTGTATAAATTGGAGGTAAATGAACAGCTCTGTAGATATATACTTGGTCTTGTTGCAGAAACGAAGAATGGGTAACCTGGAAGGCAGAACTTGTCACTGTTGTTGTTACTGCTGAAGAGGTTAATTTCTTCTTCGCCTCAGCAAACATAAATTTGAGGAAAAGGAACACATTGTATTTTGGGTAAATAAATGTATAATTTATTTACATATATACAAAGCCATCATACTGCCTGTTGCTGTTGTAAAAAGCAACAGAGTGGGAGAGGAAGAAAGAAAGAGAAAGAATGCTGGTCATGGCTGTCAGCTGAATGTTTTGTGAAGACAGTGGTGTCAAAGGATGAAAGTTGAAAGTGATAGTATCATGCTCAGTGTACTTGCTGCATTCTTGACCAGCTTCTGCATGCTGACATCTCAACCGGGTCTCTCTCTCTTTCTCTCTCTCTTTGTCTCTGCCCTTTGTGGTGTTGAATCAGGGAATTTATATCCGTCATATCAGCTCCATATCACAGTCTGGGTCTTTTAGCAGGAGTTATTTCAATAAATAAAGTTCATTTTATTTCATTCAATACTGAAAACATGCTGTCACCATTTTGTATGATAGGCTTGAACTGAAGATTAACAATCCCGAGACTTATAGACATTTGTTTTGTTTATTATCTACAATGCAATTATTTTTATTATTTAGCTTCAATTCTTATATAATCAATTGCATATGTGCTTTTCTTTATCAACAGATACTGTGTATTCATCAGTGACCTCTAGCCTTACATCGCAAAATCAAGTTGTGATATTAAATGATAAATCAAATGATGAACAGATGAAAAATACTGAGAAAATATTACAGGCAAAATACTTTTCTTTTATCTTCGTTTTCAAGTTTGGAACAGTAGAAATGTTTTGATGTGCCTATTTTTGTTGGAAATAATGACAGATTTATACAAAACAAAGACACAATGTTTCTTTTCTGTTCCTCAGCTGCTAAGCAGGTGTGTGTATGTGTGTATACAGTGCTGTGCAATAGTAAGTGAACTCCTAAGATAATATTTTTAAAAAATTGTCTCTTTTTTCCAGATAATCAACAAATCTTAATTAAACTATATATTCATTAAGAAAAACCTTTAATAAATCAGTTATAACCACTTTCAAAAATTTTTATCAAGCTAGAATAAAAATAATAATTAAAAATTAAGATGTACAAAAGTAAGTGAACCCTTACATTTAATATTTGGTGACTGCTTTTTTTTGAGGTTACACTGTCAACCATTTTTTTCTGTAATTTTTAAGTTTCTGGCAGTAGTGAGTGCTGATTTTTTGACCATTTGTCTTGGCAAAACTCCCACAATTGCTCGATATTGTGTAGGTTTCTTGCTTGCACTGCCTTCTTTCACTTGAATCACAGATTTTCAATTGGACTTTCACTAAGCCATTTCAGGGCTTGAAATTTCTTTTTATGAATGTATTCTTTTCTGGATTTGCTTTGATACTTCAGATCATTGCCCTGTTGGAAGTTCCAGTCCCAAGCTAAACTCAACTTTTGAAGGGCAAGACACCTTCATTCAAAATTGTTTGTGCAATGGACTCTGCAAGTTACCTTTTGCCAGAATTTTTCTAACTTATTAATATGAGCTTTGGCATAGTTGAGGTGAGAATGCTTGTGCTATTTTGTAAACAGTGACTTTTTCTAGGCATTCTGCCATGAAGATCGGCATTGTTCAGATTTCGTCACACTGTAGATGTCTGTACATTGATTCTAACATTGGCCAGTGAGCATCGGAGAACTGCAGAGGTCATAGCAGAATTTTCCTGGGCTTGCCGAACTAGATGTCTACTTGCTCTTGCTTATATTTTTCGCAGATAGTCACTTCTTGTTTGTGATGCCGTCATACCAAAGGCCTTCTATTTATGAATAATTTGTTGCACAGTGGAGAAGTGCACTCCAAATTATTTTAATATCTTTTTGCAGCCTTCTCGATTATTATAGGTTTCAGCTATGCAATTATTTAAAGCTTCAGGGAGTTCTTTTGATCTTTGTATATATATTTTTAAATTTAGTCTCTAACTACACACTTTTGAGTTATATTGTTTGACTGCAGTATATACAACTTACCAAAAGGGTTCACTTACTTTTGCACATCTTAATTTTTAATTATTCTTACTCCAACTTGATAAAAATCTTTGAAAGTGGTTGTAATTGATTTAATAAAGGTTTTTCTTAATGAATATATAGTTTAATTAAGATTTGTTGATTATCTGGAAAAAAGAGACAATTATTTTAAATATTATCCTAGGGGTTCACTTAATTTTGCACAGCGTTGTATACAAATGAAAGGAATCAGGGAGAGATGTAGATAAAAACACAGACAGATTTGTTGTTTTATTGCTCCTTTATAGTGGGTGAAGCTTTTAATACATTTTTCTTTTGGAGTTTGACACCTTTACATAAGTAGGTAGACAGGTACTATACTGTTAATATATAAATATTTAATTAAGCCTGATATTATGGCTTGATTTTATTCCTAATCTCTTTCTTTATTCTTAAAATGAATTTCTATTTCAACCATCAAATCTACAATCTTGTTAAATGGAGAAATAGTCATCAGGCCAGTCATTTTCCTGATTATCTTTCATATTTATAATTAATACAAGTTTATAAAAAATAGGAATGGAAAATGTTCAGCCTGCACATTTATGTTTGTTTCCAAGTAAAAATCTTTTGATATTGTTTTTTTTGTGTATGGTTGCAAAATTTTTGTGATCAGTGCCAGGATTTTATGAAAGTAAACACTCTCTCTGGCTGCCTTTCCTTAAATATGTTGTAAAAAATAATCTTAACACAATCTGAAATCTTCTTAGGCACAGAACCACACTTGTGGGGCATCCAGCTTGGATGAAATTTACTACACTCCCGAACAGTCTACAAGATTAATTTGATAACCATTGTACTAAAGCAGGTATATCTCTATCTCTCTCTCACACACACACTTCTTTATAGGTTATATTTCTGGTCATTTCAACAGGTGAAAATTTAACTAATTTAATTAATTCATGCAAGGTGAGTCAAAAGTAGCACTGAGATTCTGGAAAGTCCTGTTTTGTAGATTATTAATTTTCTTAGTTAATTCTTTATCTTTTGTCAGTGGCTTGATGAAAACTTTTGCAGAAAATGGATTGGATGCCATACTCTGATTAGGTGCCCCCACCTCCTCAATTCCATACTTTCAGATTTCTTTCTGTGGGGGCTCATGGAAGACCTTGTTTATTACCATGTATTTGTTTTGTACCATTCAGTAATTGAAATTTTAAATGACTACACAGTTTGAATAAACTGATATCAAACTCTGTGAGTATGTGTGTCTTCTTGGCTATAATTTTGCATTGATCTTGAGGGAAGGCACTTTGAACATTACAAGTAAAACAGCTTAGTACAATTCCTTAATAATTTTCCCCACTGAATAAATGGTTAGATAAACAAAGCTTTCATTGATTTCTACCTTCTTACACATTGTCATTTGTATGACAATCAACTGACAGCCATAAAAACAGAAATCAGGTGCTACTTTTCACTCACTCTGTATGTTTGAGTATATTATCTTTATATTATTATTAAACATTTTCAATTAATTCTTTCTGTTTTCAAACATTTGCTATTTATATGTGAAGTGGATCATTTCATCTTATATCTATGAATTTTTTTTTTTTTTAAATTTCTTGTATTGTATTTTTCATGAGCTATTACAATATTAATATTATACACTTAACTAGTTCTTTCCTTGACTTATTTTGAAGTCCTGTTGACAGGGTATGCAAACTTTTATCTCTATGAAAAATGCAAACATAAATCTGTAGTTTGATCATTGTTATATTGTCTTGTGATCAATGCTGATATATGTTCTTTAATGGTAAAGTTCTATATTTGTTTTCAACCATTTCTAAACAAAGCTTGTTATCAAATAAAAAAAAGATATTGAAATGACAATGATCAAGTGAGCACTAATAAAAATAATGGGTATTCCTTGATATGTCTACTTTGATTCTCTCTCATACTTGTGGACAGAACTATCAAGGCTAAGAGTCAATGAAAAATAAAATGGTGAATTTCTTGCTATGTTTTTAATATTATTTTGCATATTGTATATATATTAGGTATGTGCAAAAATTTAAATTTTTTATTAAAAAAATGGTTTTCTATTGTATGTATAGCTGGCCACTCGTATTTGAGGATACTCATCTACTAGAGCGGCTAGACAATCCCTACTGCAGACGCTTGCTCAGGCACATTTGTGTTTCAACACCCACAGAGCCCACCTGTGGTTTTATATTGCATCTATGCTAAGCAGACCTTAGTTACAGTTTCTGGGAAAGAGCATGTTATCTAGCATGATCAACAATTTGAACAAGGCCAGCACACTCAAGCCCTCGACCATGATGACTTGTGACTTCATGCTAGAACAGCTATCAACGGTACCCAAGGGTTCCATCTACTCAATTTCACTCACAAGGCTTGGGTCAACCTGTAGTATAGTTTTCAGGCACTTTCCAAAGGTGCCGTATGCTGGGATTGACCCCTCCAGTCCAATAACAAGGACTCCTTCTTGACAAATTGACCATAGTGAAATTCAAACCTGGGTCTCATGAACAGAATATGAACGTTCTAACCACTTGGCTACGTGCCCATTTTCTATTGTATATTCAAATTGTAACCCACCTATGTGTCAAACAACCCCTTTTGATTGTTGCCATGTCTATCAATACATATATCACTTCTCAACTCACACACCATACTTCCCCTCCTATGAGTCATGAGACACTATCTTAGTTGTGTAATACCAACCTTACATTCTTTTCCCTCCTCGGTTTTGGATTGGTGTGTCTTCTCGATAGGGTTGATTTGGGTTTCCCAAAATCTTACAATATTGAGATTACAGTGAAGTCTAGTATCAACCTTCTTAAATACATTGAGTACTATGGAAAAGATTGCACAATTCCTGTTGAAAACAACATAATTCCTGCCAAAGACCATACAATTCCATTCACAGCTGTGGTAAACTTTTGTCTCTTTCATCTGGGCATTCGTTGGAACTGGAAAAAGAATTCTTTCAATGAAATGTACAACACTGTTGATAACTAACAAAGGCTTATTGAATATAAAGAGGACTGATTGAATAAAATATCTCTATTAGCTACTGTAAATCAAAATACTCTACTGCAGGAGTAGTGATTTGGAGATTCTGGTTGTACCCATTAAAGTGATGTCCAGTCAATTCTTCGGTTATGCGTAGGAAATTTCTATTTATAACCACGCAAGTAATAGCCAGCTTGTTGGCTTTCTTCAGTTATTCTGTCATGCATGTCTGTTTTCATACCGGCCCAGAAATTGCAGGCGTGCTCTTTAGCGACGAATGTCTTACAAGCAATTCCAGGCCATACCAAAATGTGGGTCATCTCACTTGAGTCTAACTTCTGCTTCACACTCGAGAAAGAATGACTACTCAGCAAATGTGTACTGGGCATTATATAGAGAAATCTTTCCTGATAACAATGATTGATGACTTCCTTTACCTATACAGCTGACAGAAAATGACAATTTGTAATGCATGAATTTTATTATCACCATCTTCCCATAAGCCAAAATCTGGTTTGTCTCATTTGTGCCAAAAATCCAAAATAATGTCAGCTATAAAAATTTTAAACAAATGTAGTAAAAAAGAAAATAAACAGACCCAACCTTAATCTTAGTCTTTATGATATTTCAATTGTATATCACTAATATTTTTTTGTAAGGATATTTTTTAGGGTGGTCAACATGAACTTTTTGCATAAACCAGATATTCCTAGTTTCTTTGTCCAGAATAATTTAGATCATTATTTTTGGTGACCACACATTTTCTCTACCAATAAGGTATTGTAAAGAACATATTTCTTCTATTCTCTCAGGTATCCACAACTTAGATGATATATTAATCATCTCAATCTTATTGGCAGGAAGTGGGGGAGCATTGGGAGTCTTTGTTTTACTCAATCTTACAGAATTCCATTGAGTTAAATTTGGGTTCGATTCTCCTTATAACTGTTCTTAATTTCACTTTATTATTTTAAAACAATTTTTAACACATTTTGTTTTTAATTTTCTTCTCCAATATTTAACTTGCTTTCCTGAGAATTTCAACAGTTATCATCCAATTAGTAGTCCTGTAATTTCATGCATTTAAACAGATTAAACAGGGCTAGTTACAAACCTATGTTTTAAAAATGAGCATGCTGGGAACTTTTGCACACACTAATATAAATATGAAGAGTATACTATAACAAAATTTAGTTTAACAGCATAGTATTTATAATAAAATGAAACAAAACTGAGAAAAATATTTCATTCTTTTGAAAACCAGTGGTAGTACTATCAAAATTCTTACTGGTAGTACTGTCAAAATACAATTTGGACATCTTTAGTTTTCATTGTTGAGTTTTCACTTTATTTAAATGAGAAGTTATTCAATGTATTTCTCCTTCTACCAAATCATCTGATCTCACTGCACAGATAAGAATTAGTGAAATCTGATGTTTCTACTTCTCTTCAGCACTAACCTGGCTAAGGATAACTGGTCACTTTTTTATATCTATACGTAAATCACAGTATTTGATGACATGCTTTGTTTTCATTGGATTATGCTTAAAGCAAACATTTTACATTGATATGTACCTTCTGAAGTAAAACCATGTTATTGAATATATCATAATATCTTGATGTTTTAATTAAAAACAAATTTAATATATTCATTAAAATTAAACCTTTCCCATTTGATAGAAAAGAACAAAATGACAGTTGATAAAAGCTTTCATTTTTCTTCTGTTCACAGAATGAACGATTTAAGAATGATCTTTTTATGATAGAACGCATCATCAACTTGAACACTTACCAAATCAAATTGGCTGAGTATCGTAATCTTCCTATAAGTTGGGGTAAGTGTTGTAATGTCTTTCCAGTGGTCAGTGAAAGTAATGGCTATAATAGGTCAATTGAATTGTTTATCTTCAGTTTACATGTAAACTTTGACAGTCAGAATAAATGATTTTTCCAGCATTGATGATTCTGAAGATCACCATGTGAAATTGAAAAGAAAGAGAAGACAATGAAAACAATGCAATCAATATATAACAGAAAAGGAAAACAAAACTAGAGATTAAACAATGTGAAAAGTGAGGGAAGATACATACAGGCAATGCTTAGAAAGTGAAAGGATACAGAGGTTTATAAATTTGGAATCATGTTTAGGTATGTTACTGTTTGAAATGTTTTTCCTAGGTCACTTTCATTGCTTGCAGAGCTGTCTACTACTTTTACTCCTTTTGCTAGAAAGAGGAATCAAGATGTTCTGAAGAGGAAGAGAAAGAAACAGCTGATTATTGCTAAAGCAAACTTAGTAAGGAGGATAAAAAGTTAGCAGTGATGAGTGAAATGTTGTTGGTATGCTGGAAGGCAGGTAAATGCCTTTTATGATCATAACAAATTGACTTTGTCATAAATACAGTATAAAGTTCAAGTGCGCTTGTAACAGAACTCTGAGATTATGGCAAAATGAGTTCTACTTGAAGTATCAGTGCTAAGTAGAAGTAAATGATCAGTACACTAACTGGGGACAAAAAACATTATCCAAAGTGAGTGGTCATTCTTTGTCAACAGTAAGCAATAAGCAATTTCTGTGTTAGTGGTTTGTATCAAAGTATTTTTTAATGTGGTTTCTGTGTATAAATATATGTTCCAAATCAGCTCTGTGCGATGGCCAATGAATTTAGATTTGCTGCAATTATCATTATGAGAAAAATGATCATTGGTGTTTTGTGTGAGTAAATTAGCACTGACTGATAATAGGAAATTAAATGACTATTAACTCTGCCAATGGTTATTGTGGATATGGTGTGTAAATGATTTTATTCTTTTTGGTAATATTTTAACCAGTTGTTGCTGGCAATAATTTGCATGCATATTTGTGAGTATTCCACTCTATCATAAGGAATCATAATAAAGAAAATGATGTTTCGATTTGTTTTTGTTGTGTGGATTTGTTTTAAAATCTCATAAACATTTGACATGTATCTTTTTCTTTTGTAGAATTTGAAAATTAATTTGTGATATCAAATTGACTTATACTTTTTGCTTTTTAGTTGTTGAAAAAGATGCATGGGGTTTGGCTACCAGTCAAGTGAAAGATGCAGCACTAAGTGCCCCAAATCTGCACAAACTCTGGTCATTTGTCTGTCCACTGACCAAAGGTCGAACAGTCAGTTGTATGGCATGGAATCCTAATAATCCAGTAAATAAGACTAGAAAAAATTCTTACTTTTAATATTTTTTTTGCTTCAATGTTTAGATTTTTAATGTTATATATACATATATATGATAAAAATAGTTTCAAGGTATGATATATTTATGGGTTAAAGTGCTAAAAGTGAACATTGACGTCAACACTTATCGACAACAGTCTGCTTCATGCCTAAATGCAGTCATGGTCTGAAGATTGTTAAAGCATGAAACAGACTGTTACTGCTTGGTGTTGACCTGTGTAGGTATGTATGTATGTATTGCCCCAAACAAGGAGTTAGTGAAAGAAACTGAGAAAATGTTGAGGAGAGAGAGGACAATAAAAGACTCCATACTTTTTATACTAAAAAATGGTAAATTTAACCAAAAACCCTCAAATATTTCTTTCTCTTGTTTTTCTACCTGAGGATCTGATTGCAGTTGGCTATGGACAGTTAGAATTCAAAAGCCAAAAATCTGGTCTCTCTTGTTGCTGGTCTTTAAAAAACCCAGAGGTAAGTAGAAAGAAGTTTTCTTTCCTCATTACAAATCAAATACAAAAAATTCATTGTAAAGTATGAAACATTTAATCTCGTAAAATTCTTTTGGTAATATTTGCGTATTTAGAATATCAATATCTATATATATTAAGAAACAACTTTAATGTTAGTGATTGTGCACTAATTTTGGAGAGAGTCTTATTTTTGTTTTCAACAAAAGAGATTCAAGGAAATCTGGTATTGGAACAGACAAATCATCTTGGCTCTAAGGAAAGTTTCTTCTTTTCTCAGGTGCATTTCTACTAAAGTCTGGATTTGAAACTGCAACATTCATTTCAAAATGGCTTTTGTGCTGCCCTCTGTTTGGGTCTGTTTTTAGTTGTGAGTTGCTGTTTGTAATTCAGAGATTTCTGTGATGAACACTTATTCTCATAATTCTGTTCTACACTTCCATATGAATGTTTTCATTTTTCTTTCCTGTTTGATTAATCATCCCAAAACTGTCACATTAAAAATATGCAGAAACTGCATTCACATTTGAATTTAATAATTGATAATTATTAATAATAATTAATTTCATCTTCAACTTTCCAGTGGACTTTATTTCTGTCGGCTGTTATTTAAGGAAAGTAAAAAATGATGGATTTTAAAGAGATTTGTTCTTTTTAATAATTTGCACTTTAAAACATTCAGCAAATACAATGGCTAAGAAGTTGGAGCTGACATTTGAAATTAGCAAAAAGCTGAAGGAAATCCATGCATGATTTGAGCACTACACAATTTCTTATGCATAAATTGCAAGCAAAATAAAAAGACATACCTCTTTAGAAATGGTGGAAACTGAAAGAAAAAAAGATGTGTGCAGGATTAAGTATTGTAAGATGAAACATAATTTTGTTACCTATTCAAATCTAATTGTAAAAAAAAGGTGAGGCCCAGAAACATTGAATTTATTCAATTTTACATGTAAATTAATTTAATTTAAAAGATGTCATCAATAACTTACATCATAAAGAGAGAAAGGTACTAAATAAAAAATTCTAAGCAGCAACTTTAATTATAGTCTGATATGTTATCGATTTTCTAACACAAATCCTTTTTGTGCAGTTACTTCCATTTTGATGATGGTCCAAAACTCCCTCTAGAATTTTGGTGTGATGACATTTCTCAAGATTTAATCAGCATTTCATTGGTCTTTATTTCAGTATCCTGAAAGAGTCTTTCCCAGTGAACATGGAGTCACAGCTGTTAATTTTTCTTCATTTAACAGCAACTTATTGGCTGTAAGTGAGATTTTTATTTTTTTACATGAAATTCTCCAAGTAACTCTTAACCAATTTAACTCATACTTGAGCACATGTTTTTGTATTTAAAAAAAAAGCAATAGTTTTACCCCAGGAAGCATTACTGGCCAATTCACATTATTTTAACCAAGATATCTACTATAGCACAGTGAGAAGCAATCTCATCATATAATTTTGTTTGTTCATCTATTAGTTAGTACATTTATTGCACCCTGCTATTAATGGACCATTCTATTTTGATTGTGAGGAAAGAAAGATATATCAAAGATGCTGTTTCATTTTGGTAAGTAAAAAAAAAAAGAACGTTAAGGAAAATAGAGGCAGTGATAACATCCTCATGTTTAATACCTGCTTCAGTGAAATGGAAAACCTTTCAATTTTGAATCTTTTCATTTGTAACTCCTTATTTCTTTAAGTAATGACTTACATTCATATTTGATTGTTATTACAATGTTTTGTTCAGCTCAAATATTTAGTGAGGCAGTAGTTGTAGAAACTGCAAATTTATTCAATTATTAAATAAAGAATTAAGATTCATCAGAAAATTAAAATAGGAAAACTGAAATTTTCATGGTATTGTTAGTCTCACTAAATTTGTTAGTATTGTAAGTTTAGTCCTCATTAGGTACCTTGCTATTGTCTTCTGTTAGACTAAGCCAAACTTAGAAAATTAGTCTTCTTTTTTTAACTAGTATTTGGTTTCAACCAGATTATATTTTTAGTTTTTCTTATATATCATAAAGACCATTATTCCTGTAGTTATCTGAATTGGTATCTGCATCTTTATTGATTTTATCCCAATTTTTTAGTTATTGCATTCCTGTTAGCAGTTCTCAGGTGTAAAGCTCATCCAGTAATCTTTTGTGATGTTTACCCTGTTGTATAGACTGTACATCATTTTTTTTATGCTATATATCACTTTTTCTCAAAGGAAGTGGTTAGCAAAGACAGGTGTGGAATTGATCTGAAATACTTTAATTGTTGCAGTGGATTTTTACTGTCTGCTAATTAATAACACTTGAGACTAATAGTGCCAGTAGATTTATTAGGCTTGGTTTACATTTATTCCTCTCAATTGAAATCCTCTGTCATTGATAAATTCACTCATATCCATGACAAGGAGTAGGGGATGTGGCTTGTGATCCTATGAGGGATGTAGGATGTTTTACATTCTCAGTGCTTCAAAGGATGACAAAACATCTATATACTCACTTGCAGTTTTACTTGTTTAAAGACTTGGGTGACTCTGATCATATTGTAACTTGGTCCTTACAGAATGCTAACAGACATTGAGCAAGAGAAATTCATTTTATTTATATGCTGTTTCTTCAGAATATGGGTGATCATGGCTCTCCACAGGCTCTTGTCCTTTGTAGTTATAAGCAACATTTGTCCCCATACCATATTTCCTGGTCCCTACTTTGCTATCGTTAGGTATGTTACTCGTAATTTTCATCTGCCCTTCTTGCCTTTAATATGTCCTGTGAGAATTAAATTCTTTAAACCTTCCTTCTTCATTATCTGTCCCAGAAATTTCAACTATCTCTTTCTTATTGTAAGTATAAGTGTCCTTTTCATTTCCATTTTCCTTAAAACTTCCTTGTTATTCACATATTTCATCCATGGTATTCTTAGAAACTTTCTGTAGAACTACATCTCTGTTACTTCAAGTCTCCTCTTCATTTGTGAAAAAATTGTCTAGAATTTACTGCCATATAGAAGGATAGCTATTATATAGCAGTTCAACACTCTTTTCTTTGTTTTTAATGAAATTCTACTATCTCTTAATACTTAGCTTAGTTTCTGGAAGATCTTTTGCTATTACAATACTCCTTCAGATTTATGTGTCACATTTTCTGTTGTCTGTTACAACACTGTTCAGATAGTTAAATTTTTGTATTTGCTTGATCCTGACATCTTCAATCTGTAGCTCAAACTTATAATAAATCCCAGTAAATCTTCTAGCTCTCTTAGGATTGCTTAGTTATACAGGTTGAATAAATCTGGTGAGAAGATTCCTCCCTGTCCTACGCACTTTTTTATTTCTGTATATTTGCTCAACTTATGAAAAATTAAATTCTAAATACTGAACACAAAACATTTTGTGATAAAAACAACAAAGATAAGGATACTCATGCAGATAAATCATAAAATAATGACAATTAACAAACAACATTTACCATAAACACTGAGAAAAAATGTTTTTTTTGTTTTCACCAATGTCATTTCTTCAAGCATCCACACCTTACTTGGATTTAGTGATTATATTACTGCTTATATTGATTGCAGGTTGGCTTCTACAATGGTGGCCTTGCCGTTTATGATATGTCCAACAATTCAAATCAACCTCTCCTTCATAATCTGTAAGTTTTTCATGTTCTTTTAATCCCTAAAAATAAAGTTGGAATTAACTTTCTAAGTAATGATGGGTAAAATAATGAGTTATCTCCCTCTAATCAGTATTGTAATGTTTTTGCTCCAATCGGAATTGGTTTTTGAAACCCCAAATGTAAAAATAGTTTAATAATTTTCTTCGGCTCATTTAAAGGCTTCAAATTAGTGAATAAAACTGTTTTTCTTTAAAATTCCGAAGTTTAACCATGCCCCTTTATTGAATGTAAAACAATTTGGGTGTTTTTTTAATAAAAAGGAGCACATATAGTTTTTTTTTTGAACCTTGGAATTTCTGAAACAATTTAAACAGGTCTTTTACTCTCCAAACTCTGATGACTACAAATGTATATAAGTGATATGTGAATATTTTACTATTTGGATGGAAACAAGTTATTGAGAAGTTCAAAATGTCTTAACAGTTATTAAATTGGTTATATAATTTTTTCTAAAATACAGTGAGCAAAAGCCATGAATTCACCTCTTCTTACACTCTTTCCCATTGCCAGCCATTTTAACTCTAGTCCTATCACTGTATGCTATACTAGTAGACAGAAAATGACGATGAGGGAATAAATGCACAATCTAGTTCAGGCAGTACTACTAAAATGATTGCTATATTCATTGCTATTCTTGAAAGATGATGGCCATGAAGAGAAAAACAAGTTAAATGAAACTCATTGCCAACAGTAATTCCTTAATAAAACTTGGGGAAAGCACACACATGATTTTCAAACTAACAATCAGAACATTATCATTAAAGGGACTGGATGGATTTAATTGTTTATTATGTTGTTGATAAGTTGAGAAGATATTTACTGAGTGTTTTTCTTGTCTTTTCAGAATATCACCTTTCAAGCATACAGGACCTGTTGGTCAGGTGAGGTGGATTGAAAAAGAGACCAGTTCAGAGGTGTCTGAAAAGATAGAAATTCTGGTCAGCATTTCCAAAGATGGACGAGTGACTTCTTGGTCAATCAGGAAAGGATTTGAAAGCAATGGTATCATTGTCTGCATATTTGACATGCTTTTAGCAAGCTACTTTTAGAAACAATTTGAGTATTTTAATGACAATTTTCACTGCTTGGTCATTATTTTTTTCTTTTTGCGATATTTCTTATTTTTTTACAAATTTTAACAGGAGTAAAGATTTATCCCTTATTTTCTGTTCAGGATTGGGTTTCCAGATCCTTCTAAAGTCTGCTTCAGCTCTGTACTCATGCTTGTTCTTATGCTGATATAAGCTGACACAGTAACTCTCTACCTTGAGTGGCTATCTGGCCTTGTATTGGGTGAACATTAGTAAAAAAAAAAAAAATGCTGAAATGTAGTGATTACTTACAGTGTGTGTGAATATTTGAACATTTTGTAATTATACCTTTTTTTTCCAATAGTAAACATAGACATGACAAAAAAGACACTTCTTTTATTAAGCAAGAGCTTTTTTTCAACAATCTAAACAATTCAGTAATATTACACAAATTAAAATGAGGTGGATTGGTCATTAGCAGATTTTAAGGTTTTTACTCTTTTCATTGAATTTATCACATTTGCCATCACTTCTTGTTTCATATCCATCTTACTGCATGATTCCTGATGGTCCACATAAGTTCAAAAGGATTCATCTCAAAATACTGCCTTAGACATGACAAATTCTCAGTATGTTTTCAGACCTGCCATTCTCAAATACTAGGTTACATACTACCAGTAGCAGAAGTAATTTTGGACTTTTTTGAGAAGTGAATCTGTGCCTTTACAATGGCATTAGTGTAAAATAAACACAAACCACTTCAGCCATAAATTGAATTCAATTTGCCAATTTCATTTTCCATGCTGTTAGCCAATTACTCAACCCCGAATATAGAGTAATCTAGCAATATGTGAATATTTCTTGGCTTTCCAACTTGCATATCTCCAAGACTTTCCTTTAGCATGAAATCTTCATGTTTTTCTCTGTTGGATTTTCTTATCTTCTTCTGTTGCCACTGAGAAATGCAATGAGGAACTTTCTGAGTTATTGAAATGCTTTAAGATGTGAATAAGAGTTCAATTCAGTAAGCATCTTTTAAAATATAGAATCAGTAAATAAGAGACTTGTGATGCTTACTATATTAGTCAGTTTGAGTAGAGGGGAAATGCTGTAGAACAGAAGTCAGAATATTTCTCACACTGCTCTTGTAGTAACTTTCATCTTTATTGAGTGCTCCACTATTATGGACTTGTACCAGACTATGATCAGTGAATATCTACAAATATGCCTTGAGTATCTATATCAATATGAATTTATCAGATCTCAAATTTTAAAAAGTTTGGTATCCACAAAGGAATCTGGCCATAAAGATCATCATTCTAATAATCAATGATGAATTTAGGGCTGACTTTAGTATGAGCAACAATAAACTTGATTTTAAAATACAACATTAATGATGATCATTTTAACTAGGAAAAATTTAGATATTGTGTTGATCCATGAGGCTAGATTAGTGAAGTTTGGCACCAATTAAACTTGCTAATACCTTCTAGCTTCGTAGGCAGAAAATGCATCTGTGTGAAAACATTAGTGATAATGTTGTGTCTTGATTGTTTTTGGTTGCTTATTCTTTGCTCTGAGAGCCTTGCTAATTATGCTTGGGTTTGGTTCAAAGAATACAAACATGACTTTAGGTTTGGCTTTGGTAAAAAAGAAAAGAGATTATATACAAAGTACAGAGATGAAATATACTAATATAAAATTTCTCCAATGTTAGTAACCAATATTAAAGAAACATCCTCTTTATGATTGATAACACATTAAACGTCTTAATCCAATGTATTTGAGAAACAACTTCAATACTCTACTACCAGCTTTGCTTGTTATTTATAAAGTGTAGCAGTAATTGTCAACATCTATCTTTGCTTCAAGCTATCATTCTTGTCATTTCTTAATTTTATGAGGTGGGGATATCCCTAGCTTAAGAATTCCACCTACTACAGATATTGTCTTTTCCTGTTAAAAGTTATTTTGAATCCTATGCTTTCCTATTAACACCTTTAGTGGACCTGAAAGAATGTCTCGTTTTAACAATTCTGTGTCTATATCAGATCTGATGCGTTTGCGCAGAGTTGGTCTGAGTGCAAAAGTTGCTGGCAAGAGTCGAGAGAAAAAAGTGGAAATGTTTATCTCTAGATATGATGGTGGAATGTGTTTAGATTTTCATCCAATTGCAACCAACATGTAAGTAACTTGATTTGGCTTCTTTGTTTTTTTTAAGAATGTGTGGTTGATTTATTGTTTATATTTATAATTTACAGCAATTTTTTAATCTGTGTATATAATGATTTCTATGTTTAATAAAGTTTCATGAAAATATTTTTCTTGTTGGTCGTTGTTTCTTATTCCAGATATTTGGTTGGTACAGAAGAAGCTTATATTCATAAATGTTCCTGTTCTTACAATGAACAATACCTTGACACTTACATTGGACACTTGGTAAGACTTTTCATTCTTTACAGAAAAAAATACTGAAGATATTCAGTTGTAAATCCTCCATAAATTGATCTTGCAGTTATTGTATTTGGTTGAAAATAATTTCAATTTTAGATCAGTGGAATTTATTATTTTTAATTGTTCCTCAAAGTCAAATAAACACAATACATTGCAACATCACTTAACATTACATTACAGGTTTTACAGAGAACAGCAATGATTTTAATTTGATTTCAGACTTTGAAAAGTCTAGTTTGTTTATATTTTTAAAAATTTTACTATACTTGATTTAAATATGTTCATTAATTATAGAATAGAGTAAAAATGTAATTCTTTAAAGAGTTAAAAAGATAAATATATAAATATACATACAATTGCTTTTATTAAGATCTTACCAGTTAACCTGAAGACACCACAAAACATGTTTCTAATTGATTGCCTCAGTTTCTAAGAGTGGTCCTCTTGTTTATCACGTGATATGAATAATTCACATTATTTTGAGTCAATTAAATTGTTTTTTCCTTTTTAAATTTAAGGCTCCTGTATATTGTGTTGTATGGTCTCCGTTTCTGCCAGATGTGTTCCTTAGTTGTGGTGCTGATTGGACTGTTCGTTTGTGGCACCAAGACAGATTGACACCAATTCTTACTTTTTTTTCATCCATTGTAAGTGTTCTCAACATTTTCTTAACCATTTATATTTAATCTTTATCCTCAATTGCCTGCCACAGAAAAGTGGTTAGCAGTCATGCTCAACCCATGTGTAGAGAGTTTAATCTTCACTGGGTTCCCTATTCCTGTGGTTCTGTACCAGACTAAGCTAATCTTAGGGAATAAGACTCGCACCATAGCTGATTTAGTTGTGTACTTCCCACTGGCATACAAATTATTTGTGCTCAGGTAAAAGTCAGAATTATGAATTCTGATTTTCTAGATAGTCTCTTCCCCCTTGGAAGCTTAGCATAACATTTTTGATAGTTTTTGACATTTTGACTCCAGAACCAACATTGAAATTTGTCTTTGATTTGTTGCTTTCAGGTTTTAGATTCCAAATCTGAAGCCTACAAGTCCCAAAAATCAGTTCATCTTGCAAGGACAGGAGAAAAAACAGTTTATCGTCTGGTAAGTTACAATGAGGGTGAGGAGAAGAGGAGCTTAAGTTATTAAGTCATTATACTTTTTGTGATTCAGAGAAATGAATTTTGTATCTAATGACATGTTTTCTGAAACAGTAAGAAAGTAAATCTTGTCTCATTAAAGTATCAAGTTTAATACTAATAATACTATGAAAATAGCAAATATAATAATGTTATTCCTAAATTGTGACATCAAAGCATGTAGATATATGCATTGATACACATAGAACCATTTAGTTTGTTGTACTTTCCTTTAGATAAGGAATTTAGGATTTGTTCTGTGAACATAAAAATTGAAAAAAGACTTTATGACAAGATTTTTTCCATCATTAAATATTTCTGGTAAAGGTCACACATATTTTCCTTTTGTAATCCATCCCCATTCACCTTTTGCTATATTCTGTCCTCTTAAAAGACCAAGTGTATATTATATATTCAGTACTTTAATGTTCAGACTTTGTCCACATTTCCATCTATTATCTTTTGTTTGGCTGCTCACTTCTCATATCATCTTGCACATCTTGCCTTTCCTTGAACCACATGTACCACACAAAAATACTCGATTTCTTCATAGCATGAAGAAATCATAAGCCATCTTTAATAGTGCTAAAGTTTCACTATTAATCTGCTGCTTCAGATTTTTTCACTCATTTTTCACAAACAGTATATAACATGAACACATACAACTTCCTCTACCGTTTGACATCTGAATATGGATTATCTCCTCTTAGATAATCCAAGCTATAAAAAGCTGTATACTTCCGCTGTCAAGTCAGATGAGTAGTAGTATTCTTAATTGAATAAACGATTACTAGACAGAATCTCTTGTCCTGTTTTCATTACATTTTATTCAATTAAGAATGGAACAATTTATGCGACCTGAACGACTTACCACAGATCCAGAAAGCGATTCAGCCGACAAGTGCTGGAAACATTGGCGGAGACATTTACAAATTTCATCGAGGTTCTACATTCAGAAAGACCGGGACGTCCCATCAATAAGCGTGCGCTCCTAACCAACTACCTGTCTCACACAGTCAACGAAATTATCTCGGATTGCGTTACCTACGAAGAAGCAATCGATGTACTGAACGCTACATACATAAAGCCCCAAAATGAGATATTTTCTAGACACCTACTTGCGACTCATACCGACAAGAATCAGGCGAGACATTGGACCATTTCCTTAAGAGCCTTCGGACACTGAGCAAAGATTGCAACTTCTGCCCAATGACGGCATTAGAGGCCCAAGAGCTACACATTTTGGACGCCTTCATTAACGGCTTACGCAATACTCAGATAAGACAACGTCTTCTTGAGAATAAGACCCTTACACTTAGAACAGCTTACGAGCAAGCCTATATCTTCGAAAGTGCTATACAGCAGTCTAGTTCTTATTTACAGCCAGACACCGTGGGCGCCCGTTAAACCCACCTGTTCTTACTGTCCCCCTCATGACGATAGTCCGACGAAGCTTCAAGAACAATCGGTCACTGCTGCTTTAAAAAAGGACACTTGCTATTTTTGCGGCTTATCTAAACACCCTCGAGTCTCATGCCCTGCCAGAGATACTCGTTGTCATAAATGTGGAAAACTTGGTCATTTTTCAAAGGTATGCAAGTCTTCTAAAACTCTATACAAATCCACTCGTCAAAATACTTCTGCAACTTTAGCCACCTCCCCCGACTGCCTTTCAAAAACTATTGTAAAAGTGAAAATTAACGGGAGGTCTACAAATGCCCTGCTCGATACCGGGAGCTCAGGAAATTTTATCAAAGAAAGCTTGGTAAAAACCAACAAATTGTATTTTGTCCCTCCCCAGCAGAGTAACAATGGCAAACGCGTCATTGTCTCGCGCAAGTAAGTGGTTATTGTTTGGTGGACTTACTATTTAATGACGTCTCCTATAAAACCACTAAATTATCCGTAATGAAAAACCTTTGTTGCAAAAATAATACTGGGACATGATTTTTTGCAGCAACACTCACAGGTTGAAATTCCGTTTGGCGGTTCAATGCCCGCATTGAAAATTTGTGGATTGGCGACAGCAAAAATCCAGTACCCGTCACTTTTTAAAAACCTAACTGAAAACTGCAAACCCATAGCAGTGAGAAGCAGACGTTTTTCTTATAATAATAAAAAAATTCATTGACTCTGAGATAAAAAAGACTACTTGAGGAGGGTATAATTGAGCCTAGCAAATCACCCTGGAGGGCTCAGGTAGTTATAACCACTTCTAGCAACTATAAAAAGAGAATGGTTATAGATTACTCCCAAACCATAAATAGATTTACTCTTTTGGACGCCTTCCCACTACCCAGGATAGATGAAATGATAGGCAAAATAGCCAAATATCGTATGTTTAGCACTCTGGACTTGAAAAGCGCGTACCATCAGATCGCCATTAGACCTAGAGACAAGCCATACACTGCTTTTTCGAGGCGAACGGTCGACTATATCAATTTCAAGAGGATTCCTTTTGGCGTTACGAATGGGGTAGCCAGCTTCCAAAGGATAGTCGACCAAATCATAACGGATGAGAAACTGGAAGGCACATTTGCGTACATCGACAACGTCACAGTATGTGGCCATAATAGAAAGGAACACGACGAAAATCTCAGACGGTTCATGTCCGCCGTCGATAAATACAACCTTACCCTAAACGACGACAAATGCTCGTTTGGACTGGACAAAATAAACCTACTGGGGTATACCATAAGCAAAGGTTTTATGGCACCGGACGCAGATCGATTGAAACCTTTACTCCAGATGCCTGTCCCTCACAACCAGCCTTCCCTTCGACGTGCTATGGGCATGTTTGCTCATTACTCTCAATGGATTGCTTCGTTCTCAGAAAAAGATACATCCATTGACACAAGTAGAGACGTTTCCTCTGTCCCATCAAGCCGTTGAGGCATTCGAGGGACTGAAAAAGGATATTGCGAAATCTGCAATTACAACAATAGACCAAAATATTCCTCTGGTTGTTGAAACGGATCGTCAGACTGTGCTATTGCTGCTTCTTTGAAACAAGCTGATCGTCCTGTAGCCTTCTTTTCAAGGACCCTCTCACAGGCTGAACGACGACACCCCGCAATTGAAAAGGAAGCCTACGCCATAGTCGAGGCATTAAGAAAATGGCGACACTACCTGATCGGACGCCACTTTAAACTTATTACTGACCAGAAATCAGTTGCTTTTATGTTCAACTCTAAAACTACGAGTAAAATAAAGAATGAGAAAATAGCGAGGTGGAGAATTGAGCTATCTTGTTTCTCCTTTGACGTCAGCTACCGACCTGGCAAGGAGAACTTAACAGCTGATACACTGTCAAGAGCATGCTGTACGGCATCAAGCGGGGACGAACTCCGAACGCTACATAACAATCTCTGTCACCCGGGCATTACTCGAATGGTTCATGCTGTGAGGTGTAGAAACTTGCCTTTCTCAGTGGAGGAGGTAAAAAGAATTACAAATTCTTGTCGAACGTGTGCTGAAATAAAGCCTCAGTTTTATAAACCCCAAACTGGCGTTTTAATAAAAGCAACACAACCGTTTGAAAGACTCAATCTTGATTTTAAAGGACCGCTACCAAGTAAAACAAGGAACAGATATATATTAACGGTTATCGACGAATATTCACGGTTTCCTTTTGCCTTCCCTTGTTCAGACATATCGGCTGCTGCAATTATACAATGCCTCTGCTCACTGTTCGCCATCTTTGGAGCCCCTGCCTATATACATTCGGACCGAGGGGCTTCTTTCATGTCAGAGCAGCTTCGGCAATTTCTACAGGAACGAGGAGTAGCTATAAGCGGACAACTCCCTACAACCCTAAGGGTAACGGCCAATGCGAAAGATATAACGGCATTATTTGGAAGACCGTTCAATTGGCTGCCTCAAATAACGGATGTTCAATTGATAATTGGGAAAATCTCCTTCCTGTTGCATTATACGCCATTCGTTCCCTATTGTGTACCGCCACGAATGCCACCCCACACGAAAGGTTTCTACCTTTTCAGCGACGGAGTTCGGCGGGAGCTTCGCTTTCATCTTGGCTCTCTCGACCCGTACTGTGTTTCTGAGACGACATGCACGTTACACCAAGAACGATCCCTTGGTGGACGAGGTAGAAACTTATAGAGGCGAACCCTCAGTACGCGCTAATACGACATGCAGATGGTAGAGAGTCTAATGTGTCTCTCAGGGACCTAGCACCGGCCGGAGACGTACCGGACCGTGGATAGCCCCTGAGGACAGACCAACTACCCTGACACTGAAGCCCCTCCGAAGATCATGGCACTGAAATTGTTCCTGACACGCCGTCTGACGACACTGTCTCCGTTGAGGCCCCGTCAGACACTTCGGATGGGCCAACACCTGAAACCCTGACAGATGAAGGGCTAGCACCGAATAAACGTGTTCATCCAGAGACTGACTCTGACGCGGAACGGCCTGCTCCTCTGAGAAGGAAACATTTCGAACAAGGTATTTTAGAGCCCACAGACAGGCTCGCACTGAAGAGCCTCCCTGTTCGAAAGTACTCCGACCACGAATCATGGACTGCCGAGGCGGCCACTGCGAACTCGTGGGAGCCTGGACATTTAAGGGACTTTCTTCCCTATCAGTGAGAAATTTGGTGGGGAGAATGTTGTGAATATGGATTATCTCCTCTTAGATAATCCAAGCTATAAAATTTTCAAATCTGTATACTTCCCCAGCTGTCAAGTCAGATGAGTAGTAGTATTCTTAATTGAATAAACGATTACTAGACAGAATCTCTTGTCCTGTTTTCTTTTTCTCTCCATCTAACATCAGGGCTAAAAACTAAAGAAAAAAGCTTACTATCTAGGTATTACAGAAAATAGTGGTGATTTAAAAAAATTCTTTTGTTAAAAAAAAATTAAAATTAAACATCATTATTCTGACTTTATATAAAACACAGCAAGTTTGTTTATCTTTTTTAGCTCTAAATTGATGCAACTTTTAAGAAGTTTGAGTTAAAACATAAGTTCAAATTTTCTTTACCAATTTTCATATATAAATGAACACATACACCATAAAGTAGCCACTTTAATTCAATGTTTGAAACTTCAGACAGAATTTTGTGTCTTGTTCACTCACAGTCTTTCAACATTCGGTCAATGTTTCAGTCTGGTGGTCCATTCTTTGTTTACACAATGCAGAATTGAAGAAAATTTACTTTTACAATTCATATTCTTTCATTGAATCATCAACTCTTGTTTCTCTCTCTCTGAAAAGCTTGATAATGGCAAATTGAACTCTTTTTTTTCTCATTTCTACCTCATCAGCAGAAAAAAGCTTTTCATTTTCTTCATAAAATGCAGATCTCTAAATTTTCTGAAGTGAAATTGAAATGAATTAAAAGGGTTTCTATATTTTATTATCAAAGCACTGAATTTTCAGGTTTCATAAAATCGAGATGTTCTGAATAAAAGTTTTTACTTTCCACCATAAAAAGATAAGTTAATGATGCACTGAATTTTCAGTTGACCAAAAGATTAATCTTGATGTTTTTGTTTATCAGATGTAAAATATCATCCTTTGAACTTTTGTACTTCAGACTTGATCCCATCATACATTACCCACCAAAAGATGCCCCCAGAGGACCAACCCCAACACAGATTACTTTTGCCAAAAATTCAGATGTAAGTTCTACATTTTTCTTTTTATCTTTAAAATCAAAAAGATTTTTATTGGATAAGTTTTACAGTGGACATATTCAAAGTATTGTTGCCTTTCAAGCTTGAACCTAAAGGATTAACACTTTTACAAACTAAATCTCAATATGTTTTTCCTTGTTTATCACTGGTCAAACCAAGTAAGAAAGAAAATCTGGTTGTTTGAAATGTAACTCCAGTTCACCATGTGTCACTTATTAACAATCTTTAACCTTTACTCTTCTCAAAAAATGACATTACAGAAAATTGAGACTTAAAGCTTAAAATCATCCACTACTCAACTTTACTCCTCCATTTATACACTTGATATTCTGTTGAATAAAATTGGTAGGAGGTGACATTACAGAAGTAATGAGTGTACACATTATCTACCCATAGTTAAATGAAATCTACGTTATAGGACTATCCTTTGTTTTTTTTTTGTTTTTTTTTTCAGTATTAGATATTTTGCCATTTTTTAGATTTGAAGTTTATATCATTCAGTCATTCCCAAATAATAAAATGGAACTTTGGTTTCAGCAATCAACCAGAAAATAGTTTTTAAACTTTAATTTCCTTTGGGTATTGCAGATTTTACAAGCACTTTTATCTCAAATCTAAACCTACCAATTAAAAATAAATACTTTTACCTAAGATGCAGCCAAAAAAGGCATTTAAGTTTTAAGGAGCAACTTTCATAAAGAAGGGAGTGGTGATTACTGATGACAATCTTCTTTTGTTCAATACTGAGAACAATTTATCTGAAAATTTTAAATTTTAGAGAATAACAATAATTGTTGGAGAACTTTCAGGAAAAGAAAAAGTCAGGCAGCAATGACAGATATATTTTCCATAGTCTTTGTAAGTTTTAAAACATGTAAAATTTGCTAACAGCTATGTCATTGAATTACTTAGTTTTATGTTGGTGTATTTTGTCCGAATTTGTAACAAAAACAACCAACTTTTTAAATAACAGATGGTTGACATCTAATATTGTTTCTAAAAACAAAAATCATAATCTATACAATGTCAACAAGAGTGAAAAATCAACTTTAGATTTCATGATGGTTATAATATAATGATCAAGAAGAAAGTGGAACTCCATATTTGCCAAGATTAATTTATGGTCAATGCATATCTCTTATGACAAAAGATAGAGAAAGTGTAAATATAATTCTAAGAGAAAAGTGATAAAATCTCCCAGTTGATGTTGTCCAAATTTTACCTACTGTTAGAAACAATGATTGGCTTTTACAGGTGGATCAGAAATCTATAAAAACAAGAAATCAATAAAGATTTTAAATCCAGTTTTACTTAATACACTTGAAATGTCAAGGTTTATTTTGTGCATATGTGTATATTTATACAATTGAAATGCTTAGTTGAAAGATCAGCATCAAATAATGGCTACATGTTATAGACATGGTTCTTTTGTGATCGAAGCTAATAGAAAAACCTAGTTGCTGAGAGCATTAAACCCGAATAAGAAAGACAAAGTCAAAGCAATTGTTTCGTTGCATCTTTTGTTAGCTAAACTTTTAAAGAAAATTTTTTTTTTTATATCTTGTTATTCACCAATATTTTTGAATTAACATCCAAATCTTAGTTGTCATTATTTCAATGTTTTAAATTTAGTACCCTTTGTAACTGTCAGAGATTTTTTAAATGAACCCTTTATGTTGTTCAGATGGGTTAGTTCTGCTTGATTTTTGTCACATCTGGCATTGTCCATGGTGATTTTAATTCGTAAATTCTACTTTGCTTTCTCCACTTCTTCATTGCTTAAATCAGTGGTTGAAATAACAACTTCAGAGAAAAGAGAGAAATTTAACAACTCTAAGAAAAGTGGAAACACTGTGAGAAATCTAATGAAGATACTGGGCTGAAATTGAATGAAAATTACTTTGACTAAGAAATTCAGATAGAAGCAATTTCCTTACCAAATTTGCACTACTCAGTTTATGTGAATATCTATTGTTTATGCCAATAGTTAGCAGGTTATTACTTGATTTAAAAAAATTTTTTCATTGATTGCTTTCTCTCTTGACCAGAATCTAGAATACACTAACTGTAGAAAGGTAAGAACTCCCCAAAAGAAGTTGCCTTTCAATAGTATCTAAATATGTGATTCTGGTCACTGAAGTGGTTAGGAATTTGGTAATATATTCATGGTAATATTCATGGCCTTAAACATGCAACTTTAGCCTTGACTTGGTTTAGATAAGCATTCAGAAATGCTTGACCTGATCAATCAGCTGGTCATACTAGGTTCTATGTCAAATTTTGATATTCCTTGTACATCTCTGATTATTTTTTATTATATGTGTGAAAATTTTTATTTTATGTGAAAAAAACGAAAAATCTGACACTCATATTGTTGTATTTCCCTTTAAATAATTATATGCTTGGTAGATGATCTTAAGGCTTACAGGTGATCTGGGTTCCTACATATGTCAAGTGTGTAGCTCTGTTATGCTAAGTTGAATGGGTTTTCTTCTTTTTCTTTGTTGAACTCCATGTTGAGTGGGATGCACAACAAATGAATATTTTCTAATTTGATGTGGTTCCTTCTAAATCCCCCAGGAGATCATGCATACACATTCTAAAAGTGATATAGATAGACCTATTGTTCAATTCCACAGTTTCATTGTTCTTGAGTCAATCAAAGAAATACTAACAAAATTATCTTTCATTGTGATTGAAAATGTATTATCTTCAAGAGTGGAACCTAAATATGTTAACAAAAATGAAAAAAGAAATGAGAAACAACATTTCATTAACTGAAACTAGAAAAAAAAAAGATTTGTTCAGAAACACTCTTGATGACTTCATCTTTCAATCTCAAGAACAAAACTTCTCTTCATCAATCTCTAAATTGAGTTGAAATGCGGAGTTCAGAACACATATACTCTCACTCTCTCTCTGATGGAATCAAAGCCAATCTAATCAAATAAAATGTAACATAACAGAATTTCCATAAAAAAAACAAGTCATTGATAGAAATTAATACATTTCCACATTTAACACGCTACTACACCTATCTGTAGTAAAAATTAGTTATTCCATCATCAAAGTACAAACATAAATTCCAAAGCCACTTTGCTTCTTCAACTGAGAAATGTTTGGAGATGATAAAAACTGGTTGCATTTAGAACTCAATATGCAAAAGTGTAGAGAGATTAGCTCAGACCATTCAAAATCCAATTGTGAACAACAACTGAAATATGCAAACTCTAAAAGAAATCATTTGGCTGATTCAAAAGCTTGTAAAGCTTGGAGAAGAGAAAAGGAAATGATGCACTCAGAAATTCTCATTTCCAGAAGCATGTAAGACTATTGAAACCATCATCTTGACACCTTACTACTCAAGACATAATAAAAAAAAGCTCAACACTAAAGATCAATGCCTATGTATGCCAAATATTACCAAAACTGAAACTAAATAAACTCTACTCCAATGAATTGAGGTCTATGACAAAATCTGAATCAATTTCTTCAGTAGAACCAGCAACTTTTATAGAATACATTTAGAACAAAACCAAAACAATCAGCATCTTCCCAACAGGGAACTCCTTTTCAAAACCACCAGAAGTCTCCTGATAGAGACTTCCAGGCAAACACCACAGCAGTATCCACACTGATCACCTACTTCTACAGGGGGGGATCTTAGTCAATCATCCCAAGGAATAAGTCTCCAAAGAGGCATGGGTATCCTAAGGAGTAATCTAAGAGCAAATCATGCCAACAATCTATCCTAAACAAAAAAAAAATTAAAGGATATTCTAAAGACTTTGATAAGAAAAAAAATCATTTTGTTTGAGTAACTAAAAAAGATGGAAACAGAGGATAATTCTCTATCCCCAAAAGAAACCATCCAATCAGAAGGATAATTTGTAATTGCCTTTTTTAATCATTTCACCTCTCATCCAGCAATGCAATAAAGCTACTGACACAAGGGGTTACTGAGTGTGAGAGAAAGAAAACATTAATTAAAGAGAGAGAACCATATAAGAACAGGAATTATGGATCTATGAAATTATTCAATTGAATTGCCATGAGTTAAAGCCAAATATCAATGAATTACTTTTAGTTTGCTTCTTGCTACTGTTTGCTTATGAGAGACATTTTTAAAATGAAATATAATATCAACATAAAAGACTTTGAACAATATATATATATATATATATATATATATATATATATATATGGAGGCATATCAATCCTAATCAGGAACAATATATCTTAGAGGAAAATTGAACTTGATAATAATCTTGTTGTAGAGACAACTCTGCACAGAACAGTAAATATTTATCCTGTATATATCCCACCACAAAACCCAATATATGAAAATTAACTTAATAGATTACTACAACAGTTTTCTTAACCCTTTATTTTAGTTAGCAATTTTAAGTCATAACATTATACGGGGATGTTGGAACACAAAGCAAAAAGACAGAAATTTAATTTATGCCTTTATGAAACGAAAAGGTGATTGAATGTGGTAATTTTGTTTCTATCAGATAATGTTTTTTATAATTTAAACAGTTTGCAAGAACTGTTTAATAGTTAATATTTGTGACATCCTATCTTCCTTGAGTTAAACAAATTTATAACTCTAATGTCTATTGTAGTAGCATCATAAAGCAGTTTACCTTTAAAAATTTGGACACCCTAATTTATTTGGCATTAAATAATTCTAAATGGGTTAATATGTTGTTAAAATTAAATTATTGGTTTATCTATAATAACATATGTCAGACTAAGCTTATGTTAATGATTAACTAACCTAGATACATAGGCTATTTCTCGTAGGTTCAATTTTCATTGGGTGCTTACATTTTTAGCCCTAAGTCAAGCCATAAAAGTATTTATTGTGAAAGCCAAATTTTGCATCAGGGAATTACTGAATATTTTGTCAGGATTCCTTTTTCAGAATAATTTTAATTATTATTGTGTATGTTATTTGAAATAATGACAAATGTTATATGTGAATATCCACTTGTTCTTTGTTTTGATTCATTTGTAGTGTGTCTATGTTGGTGATGATGAAGGCAATGTAATTGTTCTTCAATTGCAAGGTGTATCAACCCCTCCAGACCCTGACAAGCAGGTGAGTTATTACCACAACTTCATGTTATAACAAATATTGTTCAGTGATTAAAACAGCTGCAACATTATTTAATAATTAATTTAAACTCCAGAAATTGTTAGAAATAATAATTTTTAAAATTTCTAATCAGAATGGTTTCAAGTTGAAAACAAAATTAGAGACTCATTTTATCAAATGCAAGCTCTTAAATAAAAAATTAAAAAAATAACATTGGTAAGTGACTTTGCTGCAGATGGTTTGATAATTTATCTTTTGGGTTGATGGATCAAGAAAGAAATTAAATATCTGACAAAATGATTGCCTAAATGACAGGTTGCTTGGAAGTGTTTTAAAAAGACAATTTAGCAGTATCTTATTATGTTTAAAAAATATATTGACTGCAAACTGTTGAATATAAAGTTAATGGAACTGAATCCACATCAAAGTAGTGACTAGAGATTTGGCAAGTACAACTAGAAGGACATTTTCATTGTAAAATAATTTGTTATGCAGGTGGCAGGCAATTTTTATTTTCAAATTTTGTTTGATGCTTCAAAAACACAGGTGGAACATTTCTGTGAAGGTGACAAGAGGAAAAATAGAAGATAACATGGGTTACTTATGAAAATGGGACACATTTTTATATTGGTATTGCAGATTTTACAAATACAAAAATTGTTTAGAGAGAAAAAGTTGAATTGGTTTGGGTTTTTAGAATTAAAAATTAACTCACTCAGTTTACAGTCCTCCATTATGTCTATTGATATTTTTTATCCAGAAGTAAAAAAGATGCCATGTATCATTTTTATCTTGTAAAATTAATTTGATTACCATTAAACTTGTCTAATGTATAAAATGATTTAATTTCCATAAAAATTAATATTACACACTTATTTACAGTATTTACATTAGTTGGACTTTTGTCCTCATCTTTGTCGCCATATTTGGAATTTCGAACTGAACCCTTTATTTTGATCACTGGGGTAGACTGTTCTAGTTCCACAGTGGATGGATGTCAGTTATCAGTTAAAATCCTGCTAATTTTCCCTCTGAAAATTCTCCACTGCATGATTATTGAACTTACACTTTTGGGTCTGTCACTGGATCTAACCAACGCCTTTATCCAATGTGCCATGAGGACATCTGGGTAAATTTATAAACCTAATGTTTTCAGCAACCTTTTTACCAGTGCTCATATTGCAATTTTGCTGTTATCATTGCATGTTTTTTACCAGAGCTCATATTGCAACTTTGTTATCATTGCTTTTTTTGGCACTCCTTATTACTGGTTCCCATATTGTATTTATTTCCGTATACCATAAACCAACATTCACTGGACAGTACCTCAATTTCAACTCCCACCATCCATACAACGTAAAGAAAGGATCGTCTTGCCACAACACCAAGCAAAAATCATAAGTGGCGACCCAGAGACGTTAGATAAAGAATTGGTCAGTATAAGTAGTACCCTACAACGTCACAACTACCCTGGGTACATGGCAGCAGCCCCCAAAAACTGGGATAGGCGGGTACAAGAGGAGGAGGACAACAACAACACTCAGAAAACAGTCTGCCTGCCTTATGTGAAGGGGTTATCAGAGAAAATACAAAGGATCTGCGGTCCATATAACATCAGGACAACCTTCAAAAGCTTTTTTAACACTTCGCGCATACTCCCCCCCCAGAGGAGAACATGACTAAAGACTGTGTGTACATCATCTCATGCAGCTGCAGAAAGAAATATAAAGAGGAGACAGGCCGCCCCCTCAAGGTAAGGCTTCAAGAAAACCAGAAGGTAGTAACTCGAGGGGAAGTGGAAAAATCAGGCGTGGCTGACCACATATGGAGAGAGAAGGGAGATCACTGCCCACTGTGGGATCATGTTGAGATCATAGACAAAGAACACCATTGGAAAATTTATAAACTTAAGGAATCAGCACATATGCTAGGCCACAAAATCTCCTGAACTGACCAAGCATAGAAATAAATACAATATGGGAACCAGTAATAAGGAGTGCCAGAGAAAAGCAATGATAACAAAGTTGCAATATGAGCTCTGGTAAAAACATGTAAAATGAATAACAACAAAAAAATTGCAATATGAGCACTGGTAAAAAATGGTTGCTGAAAACATTAGGTTTATAATACCCAGAAATTCATACCCAGATGTCCTCAAGGACACATGGCACAGTGGATAAAGGCGTTAGTTAGATCCAGTGACAGGACCCAAAGAGTGTGAGTTCAATACCTGGTTAAGGCAGTGGAGAACTTTCAGAGGGAAAATTAACAGGAGATAACTGATAACTGACATCCATCCACTGTGGAACTAGAACAGTCTACCCCAGTGATCAAAATAAAGGGTTCAGTTCGAAATTCCAACCACCTGAAGAAGGCCGGAGCGTACAACGTTGTGACAAATATGGTGACAAAGATGAGGACAATAGTCCGACTAATGTAAATACTGTACATAATACCTCATCTCAGAAATATAGACAGACTACATACTTATTGATCATTTAATGAATATAACATGTTAAAATAGTGTCAAGATGTAATACATTGTAAAGATTTTTAGAAATATGTTACTGGATTTTTTATTTTTTTTTATCCTTGACACATGATTAACAAGTCCTGTAATTGTTGTTATCCATTTCCTATAAACTAATCTTTTAAGAAATAATTTTTACAGAAACTAAAATTAATTTCTTAAAACATTAATTAAACATTTAATTCTTGTTGTCTTATATTTTCTTAATGCAGTAAATATTTTTCCTGACTTACAATCAATTCCAGATTCCACATAAGGATGAATACAAACAAAACAATGCTAAATTGGTTAGTGTAATTTATTCAGAATCTGAAGATTTCTTACTTTTTTTTCAATTCTGGTATATAGGCAACAGAATTCAAATCCCTTTGCTTGTCTCTTTTCTCTCTTTCCTTATTCAGAGATAAATTTTTATTGCTCATTTCTGTTTTGTTTCTTTTAGTTTGGCATTTTGTCATAGTTTAGATTTACTTCACCTCTCTTTTGACCACTTCTTTCTCTGGGAATTACTCAGCACGCATTGCGTAAAGCCTGTTTTTTGTCTCAGATGCTTGTTTCTACTGCTTACGATAATTTTAGAAACAGTTCATCTATTTACACATTCATCAATTCTCAGTGTGTGTGTGTGTGTGTGTGTGTATGAAATCATAATCAGAGGTGAAAGAAATGAAAATATAGGAAGGAAGAAAGGCATAATGAAGTTAATTTTATTGTTTTTTTTTATGTGGTTGATAAACTGGAGAGAAAAGGATTGAAAAAGACTCCTTTGACTCTCAAGTATTGATTTGTGCCAAACACAAAACTGAGTTTCAAAAGCATTCAGAAAGGATCAACTTTATCATCAATGTTTAATGAGACCGTTTTACTATTCAATGTATTATAAGAAAAGTGCAGTCATAAAAATTGTTACAAATCTGGGCTACCCAGAAATTGTGTGTATTGGTAATGTCAGGTTAGCTGGTGTCAACCCCATTTGCCCAACACGGACATGATAGTCTTCATCAGATAACCTGGTAATCACTTGTGCAAACACATAATTTCAGATGCTGGATATCATTTTAAATATCAACTTAGTATCATCTGTACATTTTCCTAATCAAATTTTACATTCTTTTCTCAAAACAAGTCTTTTTTGTTTTGAATTCATTTTTTTCCAAATATCTTCAAATTAAAATAATAAATCCATAACTGATTTCTTTCTTTGCAAATTGTTTGGTATTAAAGATTTTCCAGAGATATAATTGATTTAGTGATACTAATCTTAAAGATTACAAAGATTTTCCTTTTTTCTGTTAGTAAATCAATTTTCACAAGTTATCAATTTTAAAGACAGGTTATAAAAGAATGGATCTAAAATATGGAATGAGAAAAAAGCCTTCATGCAAATGTTTATTTTGAATTAACAGGTCACATGCCAGTTTCCATATTTGTGCTCATCAATTCCTTCTTCCAAAAAGATATTTTGTATTTTATTTTAATGCTGCCATCTTAAGAGAATAGTGTATCTTTTAGCAACTCATTAAGTTTTGATGATGATATTTAATTGTTGAATAAACAAAGCCATAAAAGACATGTAACCAACATCAGACTTGTAAATTACCTGTTTGATTAAAATATCACCACAAGCAATCATTAAATCATTCTAAAGTAGATGATGTTTGACTTCTACAAAATTTATTATCATTGGTCTGTTTACTGAAATGTCAACCGTTGACAAATGTCTATTAAGAATTTAGTCAAGGTAAAGATGCAAATCATGTCAAAGTTATAAAGAAATTTTTGTTGAAGAATTATAGTTTGTATCCCTTCAACATATATATATTATTTTTAAATAAAATGAATTTTTAATCATATGAAAATTAGCTGTTTTTGATTACACCTTTTACAACAAAAATTAAAAAATGATTATTTTAAATTTATTTTAAATAATTTTTTTTGTACAATGCTTTGGTTTTCTAGCTGAATGTTAAAATAATGGAAATGACAAAATAAAAAATTCATGTTAATATTCTATCATCTAAAATTTCATAGATTTTCTCTTAACATAATTTTTAAATGTTTGATAAAATATATATATATTTTTGATTATAAATTTAAACCTTTTCTAAAATTATATTTAACAATGCTTTCAGATGTTTTTTCATTTTAAATTTTAAAATTGCTGGTGTCTGATGCACAGCTCAGACAATCTCATTCAGTTTTTCCAGAAATTTTTCCCAAGTTTTTAAATATTCCATTTTGGATGAGTATATTAAATTTCTTATATATAAAATATATAAATGTTTTAAAAATATGAGTGGTTTTTACCCTTTAAAAGTTTCAAATAATGAACTTTATAAATTTTCAATTTTAGTAAATTAGTTTTATTAATTAAAGAATTAATTTTTAAATTTAAATTATGATAAAATATTCAAATTCATTACAATGAATTTCTAATGCATTTCATTGTGTGTGTTGTTTTTTTCAATATCTATTTTGTGTTTATATAATCTTTTATTTAAAT